TTTTTTTTTTTTTTTTGAGACAGGGTCTCACTGTTGCCCAGGCAGGAGTGCAGTGGCAAGATTTCAGCTCACTGCAACTTCCACCTGCCTGGTTCAGGGGATTCTTGTGCATCAGCCCCCGAGTAGCTGAGATTACAGGTGCATACAGCCATGCCCGGCTAATTTTTGTGGGTTTTTTTGTTTTCTTGTTTTTTTTTTTTTTTTTTTTTTTTGAGATGGAGTCTCACCCTGTCGCTGGACAGGGTGGAGTGCGATGGCGCAATCTCGGCTCACTGTAACCTCCACTTCCGGGGTTCAAAAGATTCTCCTGACCGGGCGTGGTGGCTCAAGCCTGTAATCCCAGCACTTTGGGAGGCCGAGACGGGCGGATCACGAGGTCAGGAGATCGAGACCATCCTGGCTAACACGGTGAAACCCCGTCTCTACTAAAAATACAAAAAATTAGCCGGGCAAGGTGGCGGGCGCCTGTAGTCCCAGCTACTCGGGAGGCTGAGGCAGGAGAATGGCGTGAACCCGGGAGGCGGAGCTTGCAGTGAGCCGAGATCGCGCCACTGCACTCCAGCCTGGGCGACGGAGCAAGACTCTGTCTTTAAAAAAAAAAAAAAAAAAAAAAAAAAGATTCTCCTGCCTCAGCCTCCCGAGGAGCTGGGATTACAGGTGCACGCCACCATGGCCAGCTAATTTTTGTATTTTTAGTAGAGATGAGGTTTACCATGTTGGCCAGGCTGGCCACTGTTGGCCACTCCTAACCTCGTGATCTGCCCACGTCGGCCTCCCAACATGCTGGGATTACAGGCATGAGCCGCCACGCCCGGCCTAACTTTTGTGTTTTTAGTAGAGACTAGGTTTCACCCTGTTGGCCAGGCTGGTCTCAAACTCCTGATCTCAAGGGATCCATCCATCTCGGCCTCCCAAAGTGCTGGGATTACAGGCATGAGCCACCGTGCCTGGTCCATAAAAAAATTTAATAGACTCATTCATACTAAAGGAGCATGTAAAGTTATGTGCTGCTTCCTCGTTTTCATGGAGATAAAGGGGTGAACCAGGATAGAAAGAGACAAATTTGAATTAGACTTCAGTTCTGCTGAGGGCAGCCCTGCTTACCTTTTAGCAGGGACAGCCAGAAGCATGTAGCTCTATTTCACACCCTTTCTGTTCTTTTTTTTTTTTTGAGACAGAGTCTCACTCTGTTGCTCAGGTTGGAGTGCAGTGGCAAGATCTTGGCTCACTGCAGCCTCCACCTCCCAGACGCAGGGGATTCTCCTTCCCCAGCCTCCCAAGTAGCTGGGATTATAGGCAAGCACCACCAGGCCAGACTAATTTTTGTATTTTTTGTAGAGACAGAGTTTCACGTTGTTGGTCAGGCTGGTGTTAAACCCCTAACCTCAGGTGATCTGCCTGTCTCGGCCTCCCAAAGTGCTGGGATTACAGGTGTGAGCCACAGCGCCGGGCCTATTTCACAAGTTCTGAGACTCACTTTTAAAAACTAGTTTGACATATTGCATAAGCATGATAAGGAGATTCAGGATAGTTCCTAAATAACCAATGTTGAATGGACTAGAAGTCTGGATACTATAGGCAGAAGGTAAGAAGAAGCTTTGTCGGCCGGGCGCAGTGGCTCACGCCTGTCTCAAAAAAAAAAAAAAAAAAAAAAAAGAACCTTTGTCTACAGGGGGCTTAAAGTCTTTTTACTTCTAATTAGTCTCACATGGTCTTCTATACGTACCTCCCCAACAATAACTGAGGTTAGTGACTTTCTCCCCAAATAACAACACAGTAGGTAAAGTCCAGCTGAGGCTGGACACTGAAGAATCTCTCTTTAGGACTCACGCTTTAACTGGTTCCCTGGCAAGAAATGCCCAATGACTTTACATGACACTGATTTAAATAATCACCTGCTTCCTTTCAGCTCTGATTCCTTTTCAGTGAGGTAGTCAGACATGACTAGGGCATTTTACTGGTTTAAAAACCCACTCACAGGGGTCCAGTAAGTTGGCAAACAAAGAGGGCCAACTGTCACCTAGTAAAATTTGAGTATGCAATCAGCTTTCAGTTTTTTTTTAATCTGTTATCAAGCATCCCATTTTTAACATTAGCCTTCCACCCTCACTCTGCCAAATTCCCCAACAGGCCAACTGAAATTCATGTATGTATAATAACTGTCATGCAGGTTAAGCAGCTCTACGAAAGCAACACACAAAGCATATGGAACAAACAGCATGAAACTTGTCTATCCTGCAGTGAATTTTATTGAATTCAAACGTAGTATTATTCCTATTTGAGAAATAAAAAGCTAAAATCAAGTTTTACAAGTAATCATCATGAGATAAACCAGTGAAGAGGACTTTTCAGATCATACCAGAGCTGACACCAGTTTCTGCCCCAGCCCACATGAAGATGTTTTTATTCAATACAAACAGGAACAGAGGCAACACAATGGCCACAGAATGAGAATATAAGTGCACTTGAAATTTTTCTGAGTTCTGGCTATATGCTCTGACAAGCCTAGCATTCTTTTCTTACCAGGTGAACAGAAATCATCTGCTAATGCCAGAAACTTTAAAGCTCTTAATTCAGCTAGAAACAACTATAATTGAGGGCCTTTTTACTAGCTACTTGCTTCCCAATTTAGGGTTGCCTAGCAAGTTAATTTCAACATAACAGGTCATCTGCCTGGCCACATCATGCACTAGTGACGGGGCAGGTTTAATGAGTTTTGTGCTCAGATCGCTGGGTCTCCTGGCTGCTCTTGTCCATCTCTGCACCTTGGTCCTGAGCATTCTGAGACTCAGTCAGCTGAGGATAAAAGGGACCTACCAGCCAGTTGAGGGGCGTGTTGTTAACAAGATAATCCATCACATCATCTAAAGATTCCTTCATTTTCTGCAGCTGCCCCTTGCTAGAAGTGAGGAGGCTGTCAGACACTTCCTTAAAGGAGGCAGCACTGCGGAACACTGAGTAGATGTCGCCTGCCATCACCCCCATGTGCTTGGCCTGATCTTGGATGTTCTGCGGTACGCCTTGGATGTTGGACAGGAGGTTGTGGCACGTGGTCTGGAGCTGCTGAGTCAGGTTGCGGGCAATTTCAAGAGTACGTGACTCAATGTGCTAAAAATAAAACTTAAAATTAGCAGTGGATCCAGCAGTGCTATGTTAAGTTAGTTCAATGACAGTAAGCTGGTTATGTGTCCACCACATATATGGATTCTTCAGTTTTTAAAAATCCTCATTACAATGCCGAGTGCAGCAGTATTATTCACATTTCATAGATGTGGATATAAGCTTAGAGTTTAAGTAGATGGCTTCAGTTAACAACTGGAAAACAGCTGGGTAGGGATTCGAACTAGTGCCTGAGTCTCCAAAGTTCATCATCTTAAACTGAAGAAACATATTAGGTAGGGGAGACCCAAAAGAATGGAAATGTACTTCATGCTAGTAGTGTAATGTATATATTCCCTCCTCAAATAAGATGACAAGACATGCTCCTTGCAGGAGATCGAGACCATCTTGGCCAAAATGGTGAAACGCTGTCTACTGACTTCAGAACTTTTGGGAAACAAAGAACCACTTTCTAGGACATTTCCTAGAATATCCTAGAGGATATTTCTTTCTGGTTTTTTTTTTTTTCTTTTTTTATTTTTGAGACAGGGTCTCAGTCTGTCTCCCAGGCTGGAAGGCAGTGGCACAATCACGGCTCACTGCAGCCCTGACCTCTTGGATTAGGTGATCCACCCACCTCAGCCTCCCAAGCAACTAGGACTACAGGTGCACACCACCACGCCCTGCTAATTTTTGCATTTTTTGTAGAGATGGGGGTTTCACAGTTGCCCAGGCTGGTCCTGAATTCCTGGGCTCAAGTGATCTGCCTGCCTTGGCCTCCCAAAGTGCTGAGATTACAGGTGTGAGCCATTGCACCCAGCCAAGATGCTATGTCTTCTCTCCAGAACCTTAGTCACCTTATTGCCCTTTCACCTAGTTTATTCACCCATTAGTTCTCAGTTCACCCATTCATCTCTTCCAGGAAGCAATGTGACTCACCTACCCCTACTCCAAGGCTGCCTGAGATAGTCTTCCCATATATTTTCTTTTGTTTTTTGAGACAGAGTCTTGCCCTGTTGCCCAGGTTGGAGGGCAGTGGTGTGATCTCGGCTCACTGCAACGTCTGCCTCCTGGGTTCAAGCGATTATCCTGCCTCAGCCGCCCGAGTAGCTGGGACTACAGGCACGTGCCACCATGCCTGGCTCATTTTTTGTATTTTTAGTAGAGACAGGGTTTCACCATGTTGGCCAGGATGGTCTCGATTTCCTGACCTCATGATCTGCCCACCTCGGCCTCCCAAAGAGTTGGGATTACAGGCATGAGCCACCGCGCCCAGCCAATAGTGCCTGTATTGATGCTGTTAAAAAACAACCGGACCTGGCGACTCTGAGCGTACTGCCTATGGGATAGCCCTCTTCTGCAAGGAGCATTAAAAAAAAAAAAAAAGGGCACAATAGGACAGCATGGCTGGCTGTATCCCATTAGTCTGTACCCATTATGAGGACAAGGCCTACGTTTCTCATTTAGTTGTATCTCACTTGGGGCATATGTATACTCATAGGTTGTTAGATAAAATTATTCCCTGCCTAGTTTTGCTTTTCTGCCACATAACTAGCCACCTATGCACATGGTATCGTTCAACCTTTTGATACAGAAGAGTATTCTAAGACATAGTATGGAAAAATTGAAATGAAAAGTCTGGCAAGAACTTCTTCAAAAATCAGCGAATGACTATCCCAGTCATCTTACCTCAGCACAGTGGGACTCATCAGTATCATCGTATCCAATGCTCCTTTTCCACTCCACCCATGAGATGTAGAGCTTATCCTGAGCATCCTGAATTTTCTGATTGGCACTATGCACATTCTTCCTGGCAAATTCAATCTAGACACATTGAAACAAGGGAAGGAACATGCAAGTCAGATATTCATGTTAGCCCGTTTGCAGATTATGATGTAAATCAGGCAATATAAAAACTAAGGGCCGGGCGCGGTGGCTCAAGCCTGTAATCCCAGCACTTTGGGAGGCCGAGACGGGCGGATCACAAGGTCAGGAGATCAAGACCATCCTGGCTAACCCGGTGAAACCCCGTCTCTACTAAAAAATACAAAAATCTAGCCGGGCGAGGTGGCGGGCGCCTGTAGTCCCAGCTACTCGGGAGTCTCGAGGCAGGAGAATGGCGTGAACCCGGGAGGCGGAGCTTGCAGTGAGCTGAGATCCGGCCACTGCACTCCAGCCTGGGCGAGAGAGCGAAACTCCGCCTCAAAAAAAAAAAAAAAAAAAAAAAAAACTAAGAATTTCCTGGAGTTGAATGAGATCTATTCCTGCTGTCATTGTTATTTATTATCAGTATGTATAAATTAACCAAGCAGTAATAGCTCTTTACTGCCTCTAACTGTTAAATCACTGACTCCAAATTTACCTACAGTTTAGCACAGGTAAAGCAACTAAAAAAAAAATTTTTTTTTTTTGAGAGAGTCTCACTCCATCACCCAGACCGAAGTGCAGTGGCGTGATCACAGCTCCCTGAACCTCTGTCTCCTGGGTTCAAGCAATTGTCCTGCCTCAGCCTCCTGAGTAGCTGGGATTACAGGCATATGCCACCATGCCCAGCTAATTTTTGTATTTTTAGTAGAGATAGGGTTTCACCATGTTGGCCAGGCTGGTCTCGAACTCCTGACCTCAAGTGATCCGCCCACCTTGCCCTCCTAAAGTGCTGGGATTATAGGCATGAGCCACCACGCCCAGCCAGCAACTAAAATTTAATGTGCACATGAGTAAAGGATGTTTGAATTACAAAACAGAAAGGAATTTGACCTTCCTCTTCCCTGTTGCCAACCACCTATTTCCCCTTCAAGGAAGAAATGGTTTTCTTATGGCAGTACAGAATGGTACATACTGTTCTCTAACTTAGCAACCTTTAATGGCTACAGTAGTTTATTGTGATATATCAATTTAATTAGTCCTGTTAGTGGATGTGCATTGTTATAGTCTCTTGCAACTTTAAACAAATAAACACATCCGTAAGATAAAAAGTAAAACTGCTCTAAGAGTGGGTATGTTTGTAACTTTCCTAAAACTGTCTCTTGAATCAGTCCCTTAGAGCAAGAGCTGTATAAGTGTGGTTCTTTCTCTACACTGTTGCCAACAGCCACATTTCCCGTGTGGCAGGACAAGAGAGATGTCAGTACTTGACCCCTCAGAGCGAGATTAGCATTGCTTCATATATTTCAGCTATTTATACATCCTTTTTCTGTGAGCTGTCTTCGTATTCTTTTTCCAGTTTTCTATTGGGTTGTTCAAGTAAGAGTGAAATTCTTGGATTTTGTGATTACATTAATTCTTGGTCCTAGAGATAAATGAACCCACTTCAGATACCTTAAAATAAAGTTTTACTCACCAGGTGAACAGTGGAATGGAGCTGAGAAATGGTCTCTTGGCTTTTTTGCTTAGCTTCTTTAACCCTGCTGAGAGCCTGCTGGTAGGCACGGGAGCGAAGCTTGGTAGATAGGGATCCCAGTCTAACATAATAACTTGGCTTCTGAACCAGATCAAATCCTTCAACTTTTTTTGCTTCTTTTTCTGAAGTTAGAAATAAGAGATTAAAAAACTTAAGGGATCACTGCAACACCTGATAAGGCCTGGACTCTAACCTGGGTCTTGACTTTCTTACTTCTACCCAATCACTTAGCAATCATATAGTCATTTTTCCAAGACTGCCACGTCTGCTGCTGGACTTGACTACCCTGAACATATTACTGTATCTGCTACACACTGCATGCATCTACACGTTTTTCCCACTAGAGTAACCTGCCTTTTTTTTTTGGAAACAGCGTCTTGCTCTGTTGCCTAGCCTGGAGTACAGTGGCGCAATCTTGGCTCACTGCAGCCTCAACCTCCCAGGCTCAACTGATCCTCTCACCTCAGCCTCCCGAGTAGCTGGGAATATAGGAACAAGCCACCACGCCCAGCTAATTTTTGTGTTTTTTAGGGTTTCGTCATGTTGCCCAAGCTAATCTCAAATTCCTGAACTCAAGTGATCTGCCTGTCTCAGCCTCCCAAAGTGCTGGGATTATAGGCATGCACCATTGCGCCCAGCCTACAGTGAACTTGAGCAGCATGGTACCTGGCACATATTACCTAATGATGATTCTTTGTAATGAGGATTTTATAAAGCAATCCATTAAAGACAATCCATTTACAGAAAATATTTTTCAAGGCCAATTTTTGCTAAAATTTGAAAACTTACTATGTACAATTCAATGTGAACTTTATGATTGCTTTAGGAAGGAAAATCTATAAAGGCAAAAAGATTAGTGGTTGCTCACATCTGTAATCCCAACACTTTGGGAAGTCAAGGCAGGTGGATTGTTTGAACCCAGGAGTTCGAGATCAGCCTGTGTAACATAGTGAGATCCCATCTCTATAAAATTAAATTAAATTAAAAAGGATTGACTGCAAACAGGCATGAGGATCTTTTGGGGTAGCAGAAGTATTCTAAAACTGTATTGCGGTGATGCTTGCACAACTGTGTAAATTTACACTAAAGATAGGAGTGTATGTCAGTGAAGCCATTTAAAAAAGATTTAATATAAAACAGTATTTGAAGATAAAATTCCAGTTACCTAGTTCTTCCTCAGTGAGAGGGAGGTACTGTTCTACCAACAGCTCTGATTTGGTGAGTGCATTTTCTACGCCACTGTTCACGAGCTGCATCATCCGACTCCCCAGTACTGTGTTAATGCTGCCACTGACCACAGACTTGGTCTTCTCCACACTGCCAGTCACTGCCCCTTTGGTCTTGTCCATCACCCCTGTGATCGTGCTGGCCACAGAATCCTTGGCCCCAGTCACGGTAGTCGTCACAGCATCTTTTGCCCCAGTCACAGCACCTTTGGCATTGGCAACAATCTATAAGTAGAAAAGCAGATCCCTTGGCTGGTGAGAAACATGAGCACAAGGACATACTCAAGGTCTTAGCTAAGGTAGCACACGTGAAGAGTTAAAGAATGAATCTAGTCCTCTCACTCTAGCTTTAGGTCTTGGGCAAGTCACTAAGAGTTGATGAGCCTGAATTTACCTATCAAGTATATCTGCCCTACCTGCCAATCCTTGGGAATTGCTGGAGGAGCAAATGAAGTAAACAGATATGAAATCTGTCTGTTTGCCAAGGCTGCAGTGAGCCGTGATTGTGCCACTGCACTCAGCCTGGGTGACAGAGCAAGACCCTGTCTCAAAAAAAAAAAAAGAAAAAGAAAAAAGAAAGAAGAGAAAAGAGAAAAGAAAAGGTAAGTTATATAGCTTATTTCAAAGTCACATAATTTCAGAGAGGAAACTGAAGATCAAACTAAACCTGGCCCTCAGGGTATTATTAGTACGCAGTTATTATACATGGCCAGCATGGTGGCTCACGCCTGTAATCCCAGCACTTTGGAAAGCTGAGGCAGTTGGATCACCTGAGGTCAGGAGTTCGAGACCAGCCTGACCAACATGGTGAAACCCTGTCTTTACTAAATACAAAAAATTAGTCGGGCGTGGTGGCACATGCCTGCAACCCCAGCTACTTGGGAGACTGAGGCAGAAGAATCGCTTGAACCCATGAGGTGGAGGTTGCAGTGAGCCAAAATTGCACCATTGCACTACAGCCTGGGCAACAAGAGTGAAACTCCATCTCAAAAACAAACAAACAATAAAAAAAAAAAATAGCTGGATGTAGCGGGGCGTGCCTGTGAATCCAGCTACTAGGGATGTTGAAGCAGGACAACTGCTTGAAGCCAGGAGGAAGAGGCTGCAGTGAGCCAAACTTGTGTTGGTAACACACGTCACCAACATTTAAAGAAAATATCCAAAATGGAAAATAGCTCTCACCATTAGCATAGTCTCAAGAAATGTAAGTGAAAAATTTAAAAGATTTGCACAAGCATTCTAAAGGCTATACACTAAACTTATCTACAGTTGTGAACCATATAACATTTTGGTCAGCGATGGACCACATATTCGATGATAGTCCCATAAGATTATAATGGACTGCCCTATAACAGGTATACCTTTTTTTTTTTTCACTGTACCTTTTCTACCTTTAGATGCACAAATACCACATAGCCAGACAGCAAACAAGACTCCGTCTCAAAAAAAAAAAAAAAAAAAAAAAGCTTTTTTTCTGAGACAGGAGTCTCACTGTTGCTGAGGCAGGAAGATGCAGTGGCAGTTCAGCTCACTGCAACTCCACCTGCCTGGTTCCAGTGGCCGGATCTCAGCTCACTGCAAGCTCCGCCTCCCGGGTTTACGCCATTCTCCTGCCTCAGCCTCCCAAGTAGCGGGGACTACAGGCGCCCGCCACCTCGCCCGGCTAGTTTTTTGTGTTTTTAGTAGAGACGGGGTTTCACTGTGTTAGCCAGGATGGTCTCGATCTCCTGACCTCGTGATCCGCCCGTCTCGGCCTCCCAAAGTGCTGGGATTACAGGCTTGAGCCACCGCGCCCGGCCAAAAAAAAGCTTTTTATCAAGTTACAAATTTTTTCTCCTCAGTGTAACTCTAGAAATTAATAAATAGGTGAGTTGAGTTGGAGGGTAGGTAGGAAGTCCCTAGGATTTGTTTTGCAGATAAGGAGCTTCTGGTTTCTGGGAAGGATGAACTTTTGTGATGTATGGGTTTCCAGGATAGAGCCTATTCACTCACTTGCCTCCCTGTTCCCAGTGACTGGCATTTTCTAGGCCTCTGCCTCTTAATTTTTTTTTTTTTTTTGATTTAGAATCTTGCTGTGTTGCCCAAGCTGGAGTGCAATGGTGTGGTCTCAGCTCACTGCAACCTCCGCCTCCCAGGTTCAAGCTATTCTTCTGCCCTCAGCCTCCCAAATACAGGCGTGTGCCACCACTCCTGGCTATTTTTTGTCTTTTTAATAGAGATGGGGCTTCACCATGTTGGACAGGCTGGTCTCGAACTCCTGACCTCAGGTAATCCGCCCGCCTCGGCCTCCCAAAATGCTGGGATTACAGGCGTGAGCCACCACGCCCGACTACACATGCTTTCTTATCTTGAATATACACCTTTGTGTTTCCCTATTAATAAGAGTTACAGTGTGTTACTTAAGTTAGTACAAATTAGAAAAAAAAAAGAATTGTAGTGCTTACTGAATAGCTTATGAAAAGAAGAGCGGTCTCAAAGCTCTTCTTCCTGAGCAGGGGCAGGATAAAATGTAGACCATTCTTAGCTTCTAGAAGAGCACCAGCAGCCCTTGCTTTTTGCACATTGGTCATGGTTTTGCTGTCTGTCTTTGTGTTTCAAGTTTGTGTCTATATGTATTTCATTCATTTGTCAACATGTCTCAGGATTTGTGGTGTTCTGGAATTTTTTTTTTTTTTTTTTTTTAGATGGGCTGTTGCTCTATTGCTCAGGCAATAGTGCGGTAGTGGGATTGTCTCACTGCAATCTTCGCCTCCCAGGCTCAATCGATTCTCCCTCCTCAGTGTCCTGAGTATCTGGGACCATAAGCATGCACAATCACACCTGGCTAATTTTTGTATTTTTGTGAAGGTGGGGTTTCACCATGTTGCCCAGGCTGGTCTCATACTCCTGAGCTCAAATGATTCACTCACCTCGGCCTGCCAAAGTGCTGGGATTCCAGGCATAAGCTACTGAACCTGGTCTGTGTTCTCACATCTTGCAGCTTCATTGTTGCATAAACTGGCAGAAAATTTTGGTTTACAGACTTGTTTTCCTCCAGAAAACAGTTCTTTTGAGGGAAAATACTAAGGCTGACACAGTATGTAACCATGGCAGGTTCGTAAACATATGACTGCATGAAACCTGGCATGATGTGCCTCAGGGAGGGTTCAAGAACATTTTTTCCTTTGCCTGTAATAATAACATAGTCTTTCTAGTTTGTCCTATGCAAAAATGCAAAGGAACATACATGATGCATTGGCCATTAATCTCTGAGCCTTAGTTTTCTCATCTATTAAGTTAATGTTGCCTCAACAGATGGAAGTGAGTGTTGAGGATGAGGATGTGTTTTTTTAATTTGCACTAGAAGCATGGGGACATCGTCTGTGGGACAGTGATATGTAGTATCTTTAACTTGGCAGTTCAGGTGTGAGTACATAATACCAGCTCATGGTAGGAAAATATATCCACTTTGAAAAGGCAGCTTATAGGTATCAAAGAACTAATGAAACTGGGCCTAGTGGTATGCACCTATAGTCTCAGTTTCTCAGGTAGCTGAGACAGGAAGATTGCTTGAGCCCAGGAGTTTAAGACTGCAGGAAAGAAACAACTAATGAAATGAAAAGGAAAAAACTAAAATTTGGTTTACATAGGATACAGGGCTCAAGGTCAACTTAAGCCAAAGACTTGTTTTATGGTATCTTTCTTGGTTACCTTTTGAGATTCTGATGCTACCCTGCTCCTTCCACCCCAAAATGAACTTCTTTAGAACTGAACTTATAAAACTTTAGTTTTAGAAATTATCAACTCCTGAAAAAAAAAAAAGTGGTGTCAATTTGACCCTCACTGGGCTAGACCCGGGTCATATTTTTAGGACTGGTGAGGGTTAAGGACCTCTAACTAACCATCCTAAGCTGAGAGTCGGGAATAGAATGCTCAGAAGGAAAAGACTGAATCAGGAAATTATACTCTCAATTGGTGGTGAGAGGGAGCACTTGGTTGAGTTTGACAGATGAAACTGCTGATTAACATAGTACGTCTTTAATTGTTAAGATTGCCCAGGTGCGGTGGCTCATGCCTGTAATCCTAGCACTTTGGGAGGCCGAGTCAGCCGATCACTTGAGGCCAGGAGTTCAAGGGCAGCCTGGCCAACATGGTGAAACCTCGTCTTTACGAAAGATACAAAAATTAGCTGGGCATTGTGGCTTGCTCCTGTAATTCAAGCTTCTGAGGCATGAGAATTGCTTGAACCTGGGAGGCGAAGGTTGCAGTGAGCCAAGATGGCACCACTGCACTCCAGCCTGGGTGACAGCGAGACTCCGTCTCAAAAAAAAAATAAATTGTTAAGATTGTCAGTAAGATGACTAAGTGAAGCGATAGGCAGGCAGTCAAAAGGAAAATGTTTGCAATGGGAGGTAGACAGAATTGCCTGGGATTCCGCTCAGGTTTTACTTGCTTAAACTGGGCCTGCAGATTAGAGATATTATATGAAATATAATATAATGAAAGGTTTTGAATCTCACAAGGGAGTCTTGATACAGAATATACTTTCTAGGTTTTTAGCTGGTATAGATTTTATGAAAGTGCCATTTGAGAGTGCCATATAAAAGATAGTAGAGCTGGTGGGGCACAGGAGCTCATGCCTGTAATCCCAGCACTTTGGGAAGCCAAGGTGAATGAAGCACCTGAGGTCCGGAGTTCAAGACCAGCCTTGCCAACATGGTGAAATCCCATCTCTACTGAAAATACAAAAATTAGCCGGGTGTGGTGGCACACACCTGTAATACCAGGTACTTGGGTGGCTGAGGCAGGAGAATCACTTGAACCTGGGAGGTGGAGGTTGTAGTGAGCCAAGTTTGCCCCACTGCACTCCAGCCTGGGGGACAATGAGACTCCATCTCAAAACAAAACCAAAATCCAATGTCAAATTTTCCATTTTTTCAATTTTTAAGTGTATAATTCTGTGGCATTAAGCACATTCACAATGTTATACAACCATCGCTGTTATATTCATCTTAAGCACAAATTCTGTACCCATTAAACAATAACTCCAGGCCAGGTGCGGTGGCTCACGCCTGCAATCCCAGCATTTTGGGAAGCCAAGAAGGGTGGATCACTTGAGGTCAGGAGTTCGAGACCAGCCTGGCCAATATGCTGAAACCCCATCTCTACTAAAAAATATAAGAATTAGCTGGGCTGGCCGGGCGTGGTGGCTCAAGCCTGTAATCCCAGCACTTTGGGAGGCCAAGACGGGCGGATCACGAGGTCAGGAGATCAAGACCATCCTGGCTAACCCGGTGAAACCCCGTCTCTAGTAAAAAATACAAAAAAATAGCCGGACGAGGTGGCGAGCATCTGTCGTCCCAGCTACTCGGGAGGCTGAGGCAGGAGAATGGCGTAAACCCGGGAGGCAGAGCTTGCAGTGAGCCGAGATCCGGCCACTGCACTCCAGCCTGGGCGAAAGAGCGAGACTCCGTCTCAAAAAAAAAAAAAAAAAAAGAATTAGCTGGGCATGGTCGCAGCACACGCCTATAATCCCAGTTACTCGGGAAACTGAGGCAGGAGAATCGGTTTGAACCTGGGAGGCTGAGGTTTCAGTCAGCTGAGATCACGCCACTGCACTCCAACCTGGGGGACAGAGTGAAACTCCGCTTAAAACAAAGCAAAACAAAAAAGCCCCAAAATAACTCCCCAATTTCCCTCTTTCCTTCTATTTTTTGAGGGATTTTTTTTTTCTTTTTTTTTTTTTTCAGAGACAGAGTCTTGCTCTGTCACCCAGGCTAGAGTACAGTGGTGCAATCTTGGCTCACTGCAACCTCTGCCTCCTGGGTTCAAGTGATTTTCCTGCCTCAGCCTCCCAAGAAGCTGGGATTACAGGCATCTGCCACTATACCCTACTAATTTTTGTATTTTTAGTAGAGACAGGGTTTCACCATGTTGGCCAGGCTGGTCTTGAACTCCTGACCTCCTGATCCATCTGCCAAAGTGTTGGGATTACAGGCGTGAGCCACCACGCCCGGTCTTTTTGAGGGATTTTTGTTGCTGTTAGCTCTTTTTCCTCTGTTAGGTAATCAGCTGCATTTTTTCCCTCCACTATCAAGATTCTAGCCTTTAGTAATATGTTATATGTTATTAATTTTTCTTTTCTTTTCTTTTTTTTTTTTTGAGAGAGTCTCACTCTGTCGCCCAGACTGGAGTGCAATGGCACGATCTCGGCTCACTGCTCTCAGGTGCAAGTGATTCTCCTGCCTCAGCCTCCTGAGTAGCTGGGACTACGGGTGCATGCCACCACTCCCAGCTAATTTTTTGTATTTTTCGTAGAGACAGCGTTCCACTGTGTTAGCCAGAATGGTCTTGATCTCCTGACCTCATGATCCGCCCACCTCGGCCTCCCAAAGTGCTGGGATTACAGGCGTGAGCCACTACGGCCGGCCTTAATTTTCTTGTTTTAATCTGTTGTTTGCTAAGAAACATTACCTAGCTTATTAAAATTCTACATATAATAAAATTTGATAGAGTTTCTTGTCCCTAAAGGCTTTCCTGTGCAGGGAAGAGGTGGGGTTTTGTGATGGCTGTTTCAACCATAAAAAGACCTTTTGTTTCCTCAGTTGCTAGACATTTCCCTAGACACTTGCTTATGGAAAAGCATTATGGATTTTAAGAAAGTAATAGATTAATAGTTGAATAACGAGAATAACGAGAAATAACGAGAAATGCTATATATCTGGTATTTTTTAAAAAGCCTTCATTGACTAGGTTCCACCACTAGTTAGTTTCCTTTTTAAAAGTTTTCCTTAGTGCTTTTATAGTATGAGGGAATTGCAGGAATAAGACTACAAACATCTTTTCAAAAACACAGCTATGGGCCGGGCGCGGTGGCTCAAGCCTGTAATCCCAGCACTTTGGGAGGCCGAGGTGGGTGGATCACGAGGTCAGGAGATCGAGACCATCCTGGCTAACACGGTGAAACCCCATCTCTACTAAAAATACAAAAAAATTAGCCGGGCGTGGTGGCAGGCGCCTGTAGTCCCAGCTACTCGGGAGGCTGAGGCAGGAGAATGGCGTGAACCCAGGAGGCGGAGCTTGCAGTGAGCCGAGATAGTGCCACTGCACTCCAGCCTGGGCGACAGAGCAAGACTCCACCTCAAAAAAAAACAAAAAACAAAAAACAAAAACACAGCTATGGACAAAGCAAGGTTCACCTACATGCACTAAAGTCTCCATGAGCTCAGATGGACCTGACAACTCTGCTTCATCAGTGTTTGTTTCAATATCCAAGATTCTTCTTTTACAGGTGCTTGATTTCACCACCATAGACTTGACATCTGAGACTGATGAGATTCCAGATATTATAGCTTTGGAAGAGGAGAACGGATCAAATCATTCACATGCTAATGACCCTGTCCTCTCAGGGCAAAATGTTGAATAACTAACAATAATAAAATACCCCTTTAGGTTGAATACGCAATTTGCATTACATTAAACTTCCTGTTTTTATTCCCGTGACTTTGAAGAGTGTTAATCTAGTTTTTTGGCTATATTGGTCTTAATTGCAATGACACTCTCATCTAAACTTTTGTAAGAGATCCTAGTTCTGTGTCATATATCATTTAATATAATTATTTAAAGTATAATTGCTGAAATACTTACAATAAAAATTGGGCTGTATAATCTTGACTTCATGATTTTTTTTCCCTCTGGTATAGTGAACATTTGTTGTCTTTTGGTCTCCCATGATTCATGCTTATTTTGAAGGTCTCAGTGGGTATAGTGGTCAAGGTTTTTGCTTTCCCTTAGCCTAGTGGTGGGCATGTGACTAAAAGCAGGTCAACTGGGAGGAAGCATAGCATGATGGGTAAGGGCTCAGACTCTGGTTTCTAATCTGACTCTGCCACTTACTGTGTGACCTTGAGCAAGTTACTTAATTTCTCTATGCCTCATTTTTTTTCATCAGTAAAACAGGAATAGTGTTAGGTTTGCTATGAAGATTAAACAGTTAACATTTATGAAAAGCTTAGAGCAGTGCCTGGCACAGAGCAACATTAACTATTAGTTGCCTATAATCCCAGCACTTTGGGAGGCCAAGGTGGGTGGATCACTTGAGGTCAGGAGTTTCTAGCCTGGCCAACATGGTGAAACCCCATCTCTACTAAAAATACAAAAAAAAAAAAAAAAAAAAAAAATTAGCCAGGTTGTAGTGGCACAGGCCTGTAATCCCAGCTACTCAGGAGGCTGAGGCAGAAGAATCGCTTGAACCCAGGAAGCAGAGGTTGCAGTGAGCCAAAATCATGCCACTGTGCTCTGGTCTGGGTGGCAGAGCGAGACTCTATCTCAAAAAAAAAAAGTATTAATTAAGGGAGTAAATTGTAGAAGCAATCTGCAGGCAGTGGCTCACACTTGTGATCCCAACACTTTGGGAGGCCAAGGTGGGATGATCACTTGAGCCCAGGAGTTCCAGACCAGCCTGGGCAATATAGTGAGACCTTCTCTCTATAACAAAAAGCCTTTAAAAAATTGAGCTGGGCATGGTGGCTCATGTCTGTAACCCCAACACTTTGGGAGGCCAAGGCGGGCAGATCACTTGAGGTCAGGAGCTCCAGACCAGCCTGGCCAACATGGTGAAACCCTGTCTCTACTAAAAACACAAAAATTTGTCAGGTGTGGTGGCGGATGCCTGTAATCCCAGCTACTCAGGAGGCTGAAGCAGGAGAATACCAGGCTAGCCTGGAATTCCTGGTCTCAAGTAATCCTCCTGCCTTGGACTCCCAAAGTGCTGGAATTACAGGCATGAGCCACTGCGCCTAGCTGCCAAATCTTAGAATGAGGCCTAGTGAGTGAGGACTAAACTCTGACCTTTTTTCTTTCTTTCTTTCTTTCTTTCTTTTTTTTTTTTTTTTTTTTTTTTTTTTTTTTTTGAGATGGAGTCTAGCTCTGTCGCCCAGGCTGGAGTGCAGTGGCCAGATCTCAGCTCACTGCAAGCTCCGCCTCCCGGGTTCACGCCATTCTCCTGCCTCAGCCTCCCGAGTAGCTGGGACTACAGGCGCCTGCCACCTCGCCCGGCTAGTTTTTTGTATTTTTTAGTAGAGACGGGGTTTCACCGGGTTAGCCAGGATGATCTCAATCTCCTGACCTCGTGATCCACCCGTCTCGGCCTCCCAAAGTGCTGGGATTACAGGCTTGAGCCACTGCGCCCGGCCGACCTTTTTTCTTTCTTGTCCAAATTCCTATCTATAGAACTTGGGGAGTCATGTCCTACAAGTCATAAAAATCTCATCAGATGGGTTTTGTTTAAGCCTATATAACCCAGCTTACTTTCCAACTTGACTGGCATAACATTGACAGATAAAGAAGGAAATTAAAATATTTTTTCCCAAAATATGTTTCTTTGTTATATTTTGAAATGGTCCTTCAAAACCGTCACTTATGGGGGGAAATCTACATCTGTAAAGAAACTGGCCGGTGGCTCACACCTGTAATCCCAGCACTTTGGGAGGCCGAGGCGGGCAGATCACCTGAGGTCTGGAGTTCCAGACCAGCCTGGTCAACACGGTGAAACCCTTTCTCTATTAAAAATACAAAAATTAGCTGGGCATGGTGGCGCATGCCTATAATCCCAGCTACTTGGGAGGCCGAGGCAGGAGAATTACTTGAACCCAGGAGGCAGAGGTTGCACGGAGCCAAGATGGCACCACTGCACTTCAGCCTGGGTGATAGAGTGAGACTCCATCTCATAAATAAATAAATACATAAATAGAATCTCTATTGAAATAAGTAGATCTTTCCCCTGGCAGGCCATCCCCATCCTGAAGAGATTAACTGAGAATCCAATACTTGCTCTGTCACCCATGCTGGAGTACAGTGGCATGGCATGTGATCTCAGCTCACTGCAACCTCTGCCTCCCGGGTTCAAGCAATTCTCCTGCCTCAGCCTCCCAAGTAGCTGGGACTACAGGCGTCTGCCACCATGCCTGGCTAATTTTTGTTTTTATAGCAGAGATTGGGTTTCACTGTGTTGGCCAGGCTAGTCTTGAACTCCTGACCTCAGGTGATCTGCCCACCTTGGCCGCTCAAAATGCTGGATTACAGGTGCGAGCCACTGTGTCTAGCGTAAATTTTTTTTTTTTTTTTTTTTGAGACAGGGTCTTGCACTGTTGCCCAGGCTGGCATGCAGTGGCATGATGTGGGCTCACTGCAACCTCTGCCTCCTGGGCTGAAACAATCCACAGCCTCAGCCTCCCAAAGTGTTGGGATTACAGGTATGAGCCACCATACCCAGCTTCTAGTACTTTTGGGTGGCCACCTATGAGACTTCATACTAACCCTGGTGTCCACAACCACTTATCTTGATAGACACTTTTCTATAGATTCTAGGTCTTTAGATAGTAACTTGACTCTTTCAACCAATAGCAATCAGAAAATCTTTGTTGTTGTTGTTGTTTTTTGTTTTGAGACAGTCTCACCGAATCGCCCAGGCTGGAATTCAGTGGTGCGATCTCAGGTTCCTGCAACCTCGGCCTCTCGAGTTTAAGCGATTCTCCTGCCTCAGCCTCCTGAGTAGTTGGGATTACAGGTGCGCACCACCACGCCTGGCTAATGTTTGTATTTTTAGTAGAGACGGGGTTTCACCATGTTGACCAAGCTGGTCTCAAACTCCTGACTTCAAGTGCCTCGGCCTCCCAAAGTGTTGGGATTACAGGCATGAGGCACCATGCCCGCGCCAATCAGAAAATCTTTGAGTCCACCTATGACCTGAATCCTCCACTTTGAGTTGCCTCACCTTTCTGTACAGAACCAATGTATACCTTACATGTATTGATCGATGTCTTATGTCTCCCTAAAACCGAGCTATAGCCCCACCATCTGGGGCATATGTTCTCAGGAACTCTTGAGACTGTGCCTCAGGCCATGGTCACTCATATTTGGCTCAGAATAAACTTCTTTAAATATTTTGTTAGAGGAACCCCTGCTTTCCAGGCCTCTGGTTTAATAAAACATGACTCAAGTGACTCCATCTTAAACTAGCTAGGCACTTACAAGGCTCCTATAAAATTAATGCTTATGGTCTAAAAACAGCCACATTCTAAGCTTGCCACCAATTATAATTACAGAATATTTATGGCCATACAGGACATCTCCCACTAAGCCTGCAGAATGTCCAGATGCTCTAAAGAGCAGCCCACTTAAAGATGATGTTAATGAGCAAGCATAGGTTGAAAGATTAATGGTCTCTGAAAGCACAATAGCCCCACCTTTAGTGAGCACATCTGCGCATTCCAAGTTTAATTACAGCTCTTTATAGTTTCTCATAAGTAGAGACAGTAACAAAGGACCGTGTGTTCCTCCGCCTCCTTTCTGAGGTTGCTCCGCTCTTCAACGGAGTAGTTTCCAATAAACTTCCTTCCTTCATTGTGCTCTGTGATTCACCTCAAATTATTTCCCACACAAGATCCAAGAACCTTCTCTTTGGGTCTGGATCAAGACTCTGTTTTTACCGGTAACAATTTTACAGAGTTTGACTCTTTGTTGTACAGGAGTCAGAGATTTTTTCTGTTGCTGTTCTTTTGCTTGGAGAAGGGTCTTGCTCTGTCACTAGGCTGAATGAAGTGCAATCGTGCAATCACAGCTCACTGCAGCCTCAGCTTCCCAGGGCCCACATGATTTTCCCACCTCAGCCTCCTGCGCAACTGGACCACAGGCTGCACCACCAGAATGGAATCAGAGATCTTACAATGACCTCCACAGTGAAAAGCTATGCATAAACTTCAAAAAGTGGTTTTAGGCTGGGCGCGGTGGCTCATTCCTTGGGAGGCCAAGGTGGATAGATCGCTTGAGCCCAGGAGTTCGAGCCCAGCCTGGGCAACTTGGTGGGTTCTCTCTCTCTCTCTCCTCTCACTCTTTTTTTTTTTTTTGAGACAGAGTCTCACTTTGTCGCCCAGGCTGAAGTGCAGTGGCAGGATCTTGGCTCAATGCAACGTCTGCCTCCTGGGTTCAAGCGATTCTTCTGCCTCAGCCTACCGAGTAGCTGAGCTGGGATTACAGTCATGCGCTATCACGCCCGGCTAATTTTGTATTTTTAGTAGAGACCGGGTTTCTCCATGTTGGTGAGGCTGGTCTTGAACTCCCCGCCTCAAGTGATCCACCCACCTTGGCCTCCCAAAGTGCTGGGATTATAGGCTTGAGCCACCGTGCCTGGCCTCTTTTTATTAAGGTGGTTTTAGTGAGGCAGGAGGCAATAATTGCCAGAGGTAGCAATGAGACTTAAAAGCAGGTTACCTAATCCATTTCGAGGCCCTGTTGTCTATGGGGTTTGTGGTAGGCAACAGCCGACAGTTAAGAGAACTGCAGGCGGCCGGGCGCAGTGGCTCACGCCTGTAATCCCAACACTTTGGGAGGCCGAGGACGGCGGATAATCTGATGTTAGGAGTTCGACACCAGCCTGGTCAACATGGTGAAACTGTCTCTATTGTGCTTTCAGAGACCATTAAAAATACAAAAAATTAGCCGGGCGTGGTGGTGGACGCCTGTTAATCCCAGCTACTCTGGAGGTTGAGGCAGTACAAATGCTTGAACCCGGAGGGCGGAGGTTGCAGTGAGCCGAAATCTCGTCACTGCACCCCAACTTGAGCAACAAGAGCGAAACTCCCGTCTCAAAAAAAAAAAAAGACTGCAGGGGGAGTAGAGAGCCAGATTTCATTTAAAGCAGGCAAAAAAGCATCTAGCATTTGAGGGCATAGATTTCGCTAATGACAGAAATGAGGCTCAGAGATTACGTGACTTGATCAGAGTCACAGTAAGCATAGCGGAGGATGGAACCAATGCTTCTTCTCTCTACACCGAGGCACAGTGCTCCATTTATGGCTTTTATGTGACGTAACAACTAGCATACACAAGCAAATGGACCCCACGCACCAACAATCAGAAAAACCCGAAGACCCGAGGATCTGGGCAAGATAGCCGTTACGCAAGCGCAGAACAAGTCGCTGGCCGCGCAATGCCGCGTGGGTCTTGTAGTTTCTTGGCTGGGCATGACCGGAAGGGAGGAGAGAAGGGCGCATGGCATGGCGGGAGATATAGTCCTTCCGGGAAGTCCCTCCTCCTTTGGAAGACTGGCGGCGCAGGCGCATACTGCTCTTCCTTAAGGGCGGGAGTCTCGGTTTGTGGTGGCTTTGCTGAGACAGTTGTGGCCGCACTACCGTTAGAAGCTCAGTTTCCCGGAGGCTGTAAGTCCCTTTGAGGCGAAATGGCTCGGGGCGAGAAAGGAGCAGACTTCGGCAATGGAAGGACGGCCGCGACCTCAGGCTGACCGTAGGGAGGGATCTTGAGGGCCCTCCGAGTCCCCTGGGTTTGCGCTTTCTTTCTTCGCAGCCGCCGTGCCTACCGCGAGGATGAGCTCGGCTTCGGTCACCGCTTTCGAGAAGGAGCATCTCTGGATGTATCTGCAGGCGCTCGGCTTCGAGCCAGGCCCGGCAACCATTGCCTGCGGAAAGATCGTGTCGCACACGCACCTCGGAGTGTAAGGAGGCCGGGGCCGGCGGGGCGAGGGAGCCTGAGCCGGGGAACCCCGGGGGCCTCGCCCTTTTGTATACCCCGGAGGTTGATTAATAAGAATTGGTTGAGCGGTTACTCTGTGCCAGGCATTGACTCCAAAGTTCCTACTCCCAGTTGCTGCCAGCCTAGTGGCAGAGGCAGACAGTAAATAATTGAAGAGTGCCGGAAGCGATCTGTAGGCGAGTGCAGAGTCTGCAGATGGGCAGAGTGCAAAACTGGAGGGACAGCTTAATTCTGCCTAGGTGGTGGAGGGGTGGTCTGTGGAGTAGTGGGAGGGATGGCGGGTAGTAGTGGAAGAGCAGGGGAATGTTAGGTACAAAATGCCTTTTGAACTCAAGGGAGCCTTTGAAGGTGGTTGTTTAACTTTATAATTTTTAATTTTTGGATTAGTAAGGCATGCTGGAGTTAGCATAAAACAACGGAGAAGGTATTAAAAACTAATACCCTTTTAATGAAAAGTATGGAAAGTAAAAGCCCCTTCCCTACTTTTTCCACTTCTGTTAAGGTTATGGATCCCTCCTAATAACCCACTGTAAATAACTCTGTTTATATTTCTGTGTTTTATCACCTTTAGCCAGTATCTCTGTTTCATCATTCCCACTGTAGGCCAAGGGGAATTTGGGATAGATACATTGGCCATCTTCTATTCTCCTCAATCTGTTTGATTTTTGTAAATTACATATTTTCAGTTCTTCTAGAGGCTTTTTTTTTTTGAAACGGAGTCTCGCTCTGTCGCCCAGGCTGGAGTGCAGTGGCGCGATCTCGGCTCACTGCAACCTCCGCCTCCCGGGTTCAAGTGATTTCTGCCTCAGCCTCCTGAGTAGCTGGGACTACAGGCGCCCGCCACCATGTCCGGCAAATTTTTGTATTTTTAGTAAGAGACATGAGTTTCACTACATTGGCCAGGCTGGTCTCGAACTTCTGATCTCATGATCCGCCGGCCTCGGCCTCCCAAAGTGCCAGGATTATAGGCTTGAGCCACCACGCCTGACTGTGGCTGTGGTTTTTTCCTTGTTTTTGTTTTTGTTTTTTTTTTGAGTCGGAGTCTGGCTCTGTCGCCCAGGCTGGAGCGTAGTAGCACAATCTTGGCTCACTGCAACCTCCTCCTCCTGTGTTCAAGCGATTCTTGTGCTTCAGCCTCCGTACTAGCTGGGATTACAGGTGCCCGCCACTGCGCCCGGCTAATTTTTGTGTTTTTGGTAGAGACGGGGTTTTGCCATGTTGGTCAAGCTGGTCTCAAACTCCTGACCTCAGGTGATCCACCCGCCTCGGCCTCCCAAAGTATTGGGATTACAGGCATGAGGCACCGCGCCCAGCGACCTGTATTTCTTGATTCATCAATCTCTTTTGATTCCTACCATAATTTCACAATGAACCGAGCTATTATAAGATTTCTTTCCTCCTCCTCTGCCTTCCCCCTCTTGACTTGTTTTGGCTGTATTTTTTCTGTCAAGATTTACAACTGTAATTAAGTTTTGTTTGGTAATTATTTTTGAGAAGTTACTATTAATGTGTGTAGCGGCCTGTCTAGCAGTCTTTTCTAAAAATCGAGTACCGCCTGGCGTGGTGGCTCGTGCCTGTAATCCTAGCACTTTGGGAGGCTGAGGAGGCAGATTGCCTGAGCTCAGGAGTTCGGAAACAGCCTGGGCAACACGGTGTAACCCCATCTCTACTAAAATACAAAAAAATTAGCCGGGTTTGGCAGCGTGCGCCTGTAGTCCCAGGTACTGGTGAGGCTGAGGCAGGAGAATGGCTTGAGTCCAGGAGGTGGAGGTTGCAGTGAGCCTAGATCGTACCACTGCACTCCAGCCTGGGTGACAGAGGGAGACTCAGTCTCCAGGAAAAAAAAAAAATTGATTACAAGCATATAGCATTTATCAGGTTCATGTATTATTTGTTTCACATGATTTGATGGCCCATAGCACAGTCACATTTTCTCTATACTGGTGGAGAAGTCTGAAGCTTTTCCAGAGTTCCACTGAGAATGGCCCTCATTGTCACTGCATCATTCTCTCCAGTGTTTTGGCAATTTTAGTTTTTTTTTTTTTTTTTTTTGGGACAGATTGTGCTGTGTCTCCCAGGCTGGAGTGCAATGTCACAATCTTGGTTCACTGCAACCTCCGCCTCCCGGGTTCAAGCAATTCTCCTGCCTCAGCCTCCTGAGTAGCTGAGATTACAGGCACCTGCCACAGTGCCCAGCTAATTTTTGTATTTTTTTTCTTTTTTTTTAAATTTATTTTTTATTATTATTATACTTTAAGTTCTAGGGTACATGTGCATAACGTGCAGGTTTGTTACATATGTATACTTGTGCCATGTTGGTGTGCTGCACCCATCAACTCGTCATTTACATCAGGTATAACTCCCAATGCAATCCCTCCCCCCTCCCCCCTCCCCCCTCCACATGATAGGCCCTGGTGTGTGATGTCCCCCTTCCCGAGTCCAAGTGATCTCATTGTTCAGTTCTCACCTATGAGTGAGAACATGCGGTGTTTGGTTTTCTGTTCCTGTGATAGTTTGCTAAGAATGATGGTCTCCAGCCGCATCCATGTCCCTACAAAGGACACAAACTCATCCTTTTTTATGGCTGCATAGTATTCCATGGTGTATATGTGCCACCTTTTCTTAATCCAGTCTGTCACTGATGGACATTTGGGTTGATTCCAAGTCTTTGCTATTGTGAATAGTGCCGCAATAAACATACGTGTGCATGTGTCTTTATAGCAGCATGATTTATAATCCTTTGGGTATATACCCAGTAATGGGATAGCTGGGTCATATGGTACTTCTAGTTCTAGATCCTTGAGGAATCACCATACTGTTTTCCATAATGGTTGAACTAGTTTACAATCCCACCAACAGTGTAAAAGTGTTCCTATTTCTCCACATCCTCTCCAGCACCTGTTGTTTCCTGACGTTTTAATGATCGCCATTCTAACTGGTGTGAGATGGTATCTCATTGTGGTTTTGATTTGCATTTCTCTGATGGCCAGTGATGATGAGCATTTTTTCATGTATCTGTTGGCTGTATGAATGTCTTCTTTTGAGAAATGTCTGTTCATATCCTTTGCCCACTTTTTGATGGGGTTGTTTGTTTTTTTCTTGTAAATTTGTTTGAGTTCTTTGTAGGTTCTGGATATTAGCCCTTTGTCAGATGAGTAGATTGCAAAAATTTTCTCCCATTCTGTAGGTTGCCTGTTCACTCTGATGGTAGTTTCTTTTGCTGTGCAGGAGCTCTTTAGTTTAATTAGATCCCATTTGTCAATTTTGGCTTTTGCTGCCGTTGCTTTTGGTGTTTTAGACATGAAGTCTTTACCCATGCCTATGTCCTGAATGGTACTACCTAGGTTTTAATTTTTGTATTTTTTAGTAGAGACGGGGTTTTGCCACATTGGCCAGGCTGTACTACTTTGCATTCTACCAACAAGGTACAAGCATTCCCTCTTCTCTGCAGGATTCACCATCTTGTAACACATGTGGCCTTTAAATGCTTTATTTTATTTTATTTTGTTTTTTTGAGGCAGAGTCTCGCTGTGTCGTCCAGGCTGGAGTGCAGTGGCATTATCTCAGCTCACTGCAAGCTCTGCCTCCTGGGTTCACGCCATTCTTCTACCTCAGCCTCCCAAGTAGCTGGGACTACAGGTGCCTGCCACCACACTCGGCTAATTTTTTTTGTATTTTTTTAGTAAAGACGGGGTTACACTATGTTAGCTAGGATTGTCTCAATCTCCCGACCTCATGATCCACCTGCCTCGACCTCCCAAAGTGCTGGGATTACAGGTGTGAGCTACCGCACCCGGCTCTTTAAATGCTTTAAACATGGATGTGGCATCAAATTTACTTTTTTGTTTTTATTTTTTGAGATAATCTGGCTCTGTCTTCCAGGCTGGAGTGCAGTGGCCTGAATGTGGCTCACTGCAGCCTCCATCTCCTGGGCTCAAGTGATCCTTCCACTTCAGCCTCCCAAGTAGCTGGAATTATAGGTGCCTGCTGCCACGCCTGGCTAATTTTAATTCTTTTTTTTTTTTTTTGAGATGGAGTCTTGCTCTGTTGCCCAGGCTGGAGTGCCGTTGTGTGATCTCGGCTCACTGCAACCCCTGCCTCCCTGGTTCAAGCAATTCTCTGCCTCAGCCTCCCGAGTAGCTGGGAATACAGCCACCTGCCACCATGCCTGGCTAATTTTTTTGTATTTTTAGTAGAAACAGGGTTTCACCATCTTGGCCAGGCTGATCTTGAACCCCTGACCTCATGATCCACCTGCCTTGGCCTCCTAAAGTGCTGGGATTACAGGCATGAGCCACCACGCCCGGCTGGCTAATTTTAATTCTATTCTTTTTGTGGAGATAGGTTTTCACTGTGTTGCCTAGGCTGATCTTGACCTTCTGGGCTCAAGTGGTCCTCCCACCTCGGCCTCCCAAAGTGCTGGGATTACAGGCATGAGCCACTGCACCCTGCCAAATTTGCTTTTAAAATTGTTCGATGCACCTGTAAATCCAGCTGCTCAGAAGGCTGAGGTGGGAGATTGCTTGAGGCCAGAAGTTTGAGACCAGCCTGGGCAACATAGTGAGACCCTGTCTCTTAAAAAAGCAATTAGGCTAGACTTGGTGGTTCACACCTGTTATCCCAGTGCTTTGGGAGGGCAAGGTGGGAGTATTGCTTGAGCCCAGGAGTTTGAGGCTACAGCGAGCTATGATGGTAGCACTGCACTCCAGCCTGGGTAACAAGAGTGAGACCCTGTCTCTTAAAAACAAAAAAGAAAAAAACCCATTATTTTTTATTCACTTATATTTTGTACATATACATACGTTCTCTTTGGTTTGCAGTTTATGAGTTTTTTTTTTTTCTATGAGCCTGAAGTGGTATGACCACTTTTCTTTCTTTCTTTCTTTTTTTTTTTGAGATGGAGTTTTGCTCTTGTTGCCTAGGCCGGAGTGCAGTGGCATGATCTCGGCTCACTGCAACCTCTGCCTCCTGGGTTCAAGAGATTCTGCTTCCTTAGCCTCCGGAGTAGCTGGGATTACAGGCTTGCACCACCATGCCCCGCTAATTTTGTATTTTTAGTAGAGACGGGGTTTCTCCGTGTTGGTCAGGTTGGTCTCGAACTCCCGACCTCAGGTGATCCACCCGCCTCAGCCTCCCAGAGTGCTGGGATTATAGGCATGAGCCACCAGGCCCGGCTCCACTTTTTTAAAATGTTAAACATATGCTTAATATATGACTCAGCAATCCATTCCAAGGTATTTGCCCAAAAGGTTTGCAGTTTGGAAAAATCATATGGTTGCATTACAGAGAATGGATAGAAGCGGAAGAAGGGCTTTGCAGTTAGTTATCTAGGCCTGAACTAAAGTGGCAGTAGGAATAAAAAGAGGTGATTCATTTATTTGTTCATTCAACAAATATTTATTGACCACAGTATTGGACCTGGCTATACAGCGATGAACAGAATAGATATAAATTTTCCCTTACAGAATTTTTTTTTTTTTTTTTTTTTTTTTTAGACGAAGTCTTGCTCTTTCGCCAGGCTGGAGTGGAGTGGTGCGATCTTGGCTCACTGCAACCTCTGCCTCCTGGGTTCAAGCGATTCTCCTGCCTCAGCCTCCTGAGTAGCTGGGATTACAGGTGCATGCCACCACACCTGGCTAATTTTTGTATTTTTAGTAGACATTGGGTTTCACCATGTTGGCCAGGATGGTCTCGATCTCTTGACCTCTTGATCTACCTGCCTTGGCCCCCCAAAGTGCTGGGATTACAGGTGTGAGCCACTGCACCCGCCCCCTTACAGTATTTTAGTCTAGTGAAGGAACAAACGTTCAACAAATATCTTTTTTTTTTTTTTTTTTGAGACGGAGTTTCGCTCTGTCACCCAGGCTGGAGTGCAGTGGCCGGATCTCAGCTCACTGCAAGCTCCGCCTCCCGGGTTTACGCCATTCTCCTGCCTGAGCCTCCCGAATAGCTGGGATTACAGGCGCCCGCAACCTCGCCCGGCTAGTTTTTTGTATTTTTTTAGTAGAGATGGGGTTTCACCGTGTTCGCCAGGATGGTCTCGATCTCCTGACCTCATGATCTGCCCGCCTCGGCCTCCCAAAGTGCTGGGATTACAGGCTTGAGCCACCGCGCCCGGCCTTCAACAAATATCTTATTACAAATTATAGTAAGTGTCAAAGAGAAGAGAACAAGGTATTTTATGAAAAAACAACAGGTTTGAGAGATGGTAGGGAAGTAGGATAGATGGAACTTCATTTGTGTTACTTGAAGAGTAGAGACATTCTAAGGACAAAAGTGTTGTTTGACAAATGGATAGGCATAGGAACTTACGCAAGAGAATGGTAATCCTAAGTCAGAAATTCACTTGATGTGATTTTTTGGAAGTAAATTTCATGCTTTGCCGTTTAAGTTAACTCTTGATTCCTTATAGTTGTGTGACATTTCTTAAAGGGTTTAGTGTTTTTTCGTTTTGTTTTCACATTTTTTTTTTTTTTTAGGCTTTGTTTCGATTAATTAGGGTAATTGGAACAATAAAAACTAATGCCAGCGTTATGTTATAAAGATGGTTCTGGGAATAAAAATCTAGTAGTGAAGACCCTGGACTCTAGGGTGAGGTGACATATTTCAAATCAGTGCTTTTCTACTTTCTGGTTAAGTGATTTTGGGCAAATTTCTAACCTCTAAATTTAAGTTTCCTCATCTGTATAATGAAGATAAACTACTATCTAGTGTCATTAGGATTAAATAAAATAATTTGTGTTAAAGTAGATAGTATGTGATAGTAGTGAAGATTAGCTAAGTTACTGCTTGTAGAAGGCTTAGAAGAATGCTTGGCAAATAGGAAACTCTTAATAAATATTAACTATTTACTGTTATTCAGTCAATGTAGGTTGTTACCATTATAAGGCATGGTTCTCTCTTGAATTAGGTTTTCCTTCCTTTTCTGTAGAGTGTTTTCATTAAAGCCAGTTCTGCCAGTCTTATATTGAATCTGTGTTTTGAGAATTAGAAAATGAAAGCTTGTATGTTTTTCTTAACTGGTTATAAAATGTACATGAATGAGAAAAATTAATTTGCCTTGACTTCCTGAAGAGAATGAAAACATTGATTTGTGTCGAACTCTTACTCAGCTTTTGATGATGTTTAGTTTACTAACCATTTTCTTTTTCTATTTCTATTTCATTTTTAAACACTAGGAACATGTTTGACAAGCTGAACCGTGATGCCTTTCATATAGTTTCTTATTTTTTGTTTCAAGCTCTGGACCAGTCTCTCACCAAAGAAGTTTTCAAGTAAGGAAAAATAATTTCATTTTCTTAAGTTTCTTTCCAAATTTGAAAATGGACTGTGTTTTGATATAAACCAGAATTTCTTTTTTCTTTTTTTTTTTGTTTTTGAGATGGAGTCTCACTCCATCACCCAGGCTGGAGTGCAGTGACGCGATCTAGGCTCACTGCAACTTCTGCCTCCCAGGTTCAAGAAATTCTCCTGTCTCAGCCTCCCGAGTAGCCGGGATTACAGGTGGCTGCCACCACGCCGAGCTAATTTTTGCATTTTTATTTGAGATGGAGTTTCACCTTGTTGGTCAGGCTGGTTTCAAACTGCTGACCTCAGGTGACCCACCTGCCTTGGCGTCCCAAAGTGCTGGGATTACAGGTGTGAGCCACTACACCCAACATAAGCCAGAATTTCAACTTGGCCTTTGATGTTTTGAATGAATATTACAAAATTCAGGTTTGAGTCTTATACATTTAATTCTTAATCTTTATAAATCTGGGTGACGTTTTTCTTTGGTACATATCTTAAAATCATTGTGTATTTTATAGGTAATATAGTTTTTATTTTATATAATTCTTAACATTTTCTTTATGGTCTTAATAATTAAGCAAATTATTGTTAGCAGCACAATTAACTGATGTCAATCTGTATGAACTTGATTTTGCCCTATTTTTTATTTTGCTTAGTACTCTATGCCTTACTGCTTTTCCTATAGGCAGTGTTGTTTTGTCTACATGGTTCTCTGTAAATCCTTACTTTTTTCAGTGATATGTTAAAGCATCAATTGCTGTAGGGAAAAATCATTCCTATTACATTTACTCTATTGTTGTATGCTGTTGTTTAAGAAGGAGATAAAAATGTAAACACCCACTAGTCTCAGTTCTAAGTTATTTTGCATGTGATTTGTGTTTCTTCTATCTAAAAAAGTGTTCAAATTTCTTTTGATGTTTATGTTGTGCCATCAATCTTATATAGAAAAGCAACAAGTAGATCTATTGCTTAGGGCATTATTTTCATTTTTGATAATCTATTTTGAATATTTTGCCTTTATTTAAAGTTCTGAGTGTGCAGGAGAATAGGTATGTTTGGATCATTTTTTGGAATTCCCTATTATTAAGGTATAGAGCAGTTTCTTCTGTCCAAATAAAAATAGATTTTTACTTTTTTTTTTTTTGCTGATTATCAACATTACGGCTCATTTTAAGTAATTCAGAAAATATAGGAAAATGTAAAAATTGTTTTGAAACCCGTCAACCACTGAGTATCACTGTTGACATTCTAGCCTTTTAGTCTTTTTATTCCCTATGCATGCTCAGTTTTTTCTGCAAATACTGAATGTAGTTATAGAAAAAGTATGAGGCCTTAAATAATTATGCCTCAGAATAAAAATTTGGAAAAACCTGACTGAAAGAAAAGCAGTAGGTAAATTTTAAACCCTAATATGCTTGACCAAAGTTGAAGCAAAATTTTCTTTTTCATGTTTTTCTGTCTTGTTTAGCCACAAAGCAATAGCACCCACAGTATGATAAGGATTATCTCTAGGAGTCATGATCTTGTATGCCATTTTTTGTCTTCATATATATCTGTTTATGTTTCTGTCCCGCAAGATTACTATTTCTTTTCAGGCTTAATTTACTAGTTTATTTATATTGTCTTTATGCACTAGTCCAGTGGGTCCATTGAGATTGTTGTCTTTAGCTGATTTTCAGCAATTTTTATAGCTGTTCATTCCCTCATTTAATACGTTTTAGTTGTTTGTATGAAACAGAACTCAATCCTATAGATGTTTATAAATTAAAAAATTCAATTTCTCACAGGTTGGTGTCTCTCTATCTGTTATTTAAGAATGTTAACTTTAATTCATTTCACTTTAATTTTTTTTTTTCTTTTGAGACAGGGTCACCCAGGCTGTAGTGCAGTGGTGCCATCTTAGCTCACTGCAGACTCCACCTCCTGGGTTCAAGCAGTGATCGTGCCTCAGCCTCCCGAGTAGCTGGGGCTATAGGCGCACACCACTATGCCTAGCTAATTTTTATATTTTTAGTGGAGACAGGATTTCTCCATGTTGGCCAGGCTGGTCTCGAGCTCCTGGTCTCAAGTGATCTGTCTGCATTGGCTTTCCAAAGTGCTGGGGTTACAATTGTGAGCCACCACGCCCAGCCATGTGTTAATATTTCTGGTATTAGAAATAAGTTTGATTTTTAAAAAATTTGCTGAGGCTTTTTTTTTGGCTCTTGTTGTGCATAGTCCTAATGCTTTTATTTTTGTTTTCCAGATTTTGTTGGCCCCCATTTGACCAAAAAAGTGATACTGAATTCCGAAAACATTGCTGTGAATGGATAAAAAGGATTTCTGTAAGTATTCTTTTTATTAGAAGATACAGACTTTAAGAAGTCAAAAACTACTTTAACTCTTTAACTTTTTACAGGTGAAATCTTTTTAATGCTTTAGTGCTATCAGTATAAGCAAGGAAATACTAGTTAAAAAGTCTTCTTTGATGGTTTTTGGTTGGGATTCTATGTATTTCGAAGAAACCAGCTTTGCTGGCCAGGTGCACTGAAAATAGGTTTTAGAGTTCCTGAGAGTTTATAGCACAGTTTTTGTTTAAAGAAAACTTTTTCTTTTTTTGAGACGGAGTCTGGCTCTGTCACCCAGGCTGGAGTGCAGTGGCCGGATCTCTGCTCACCGCAAGCTCCTCCTCCCGGGTTTACGCCATTCTCCTGCCTCAGCCTCCGGAGTAGCTGGGACTACAGGCGCCCGCCACCTCGCCCGGCTAGTTTTTTGTACTTTTTAGTAGAGACGGGGTTTCACCGTGTTAGCCAGGATAGTCTCGATCTCCTGACCTCGTGATCCGCCCGTCTCGGCCTCCCAAAGTGCTGGGATTACAGGCTTGAGCCACCGCGCCCGGCCAAGAAAACTTTTTCAACTGTATATTATTTTAGTTTGTTTCCCCAGGTAGTATCAATGATTGTGTCTGTATCATTATAATTGTTTTTTCTGACCAGGTCCACGTAGAGTTTAGAAAAACCAAAACCCAAAACGTTTAACTTGTGGTTTAAATGGAATAATTCTGATCAAATTCTTTCTTTTTTTTTTTTTTTTTTTTTTTGAGATGGAGTCTTGTTCTGTCACCCAGGCTGGAGTGCAATGGCACAGTCTCGGCTCACTGCCACTCTGCCTCCCAGGTTTGAACGATTCTACCACCTCAGCCACCTGAGTAGCTGGGATTACAGCCATGTGCTACCATGCCCAGATAACTTTTGTATTTTTAGTAGAGATGGGGTTTCACCATGTTGGTCAGGCTGGTCTTGAACTCCTGACCTCTAGTGATCTGTCTGCCTCGGCCTCCCAAAATGCTGGGATTACAGGTATGAGCCACCGCACCCAGTCCTGATCAAATTCTTTTATGCTTCAAAAATAGTATGATGAGGGGACAGTGGGCTGGGGGCCTTACCCCCTTGGACTGTTTTGTACTCTGCTGCAGAGTTGGACACGTCCAAGCCACTGTGCTATGAAGAGGTACTAGGGAACCCCATGCCAACCTGTAGCATAGTGCTCATGAAAATGTGGGACTTCTGGCCGGGCGCGGTGGCTCAAGCCTGTAATCCCAGCACTTTGGGAGACCGAGACGGGCGGATCACGAGGTCAGGAGATCGAGACTATCCTGGCGAACACGGTGAAACCGCGTCTCTACTAAAAAAATACAAAAAATTAGGCGGGCGCCTGTAGTCCCAGCTACTCCGGAGGCTGAGGCAGCGTAAACCTGGGAGGCGGAGCTTGCAGTGAGCTGAGATCCGGCCCCTGCACTCCAGCCTGGGCGACAGAGCGAGTCTCCGTCTCAAAAAAAAAAAAAAGAAAATGTGGGACTTCTATTGCAAGACTGTCACACCCTTGAACAAAAATAGTGTGATGTAAATGTAAGAGTTATTGTTAACAAAGTCTTCAAATCATCTTACTTCTTTTCTTCATAGGGTCAATGTGGAAGTAGCTTTCCTCAAGTTGTTGGTTCACTATTTCTTTCTCCTGGTGGTCCTAAGTTTATTCATCTCATGTATCATTTTGCAAGATTTGTTGCAATGAAATATATTAAATCCAATTCTAAAAGTAAGTTCAACTTATAAAATATTTTTTTGTTTTGATTCTTAAATTTTATTGTTCTTTACAGTTTTTAAATCATGAGGAGATCTTAGTAAAAGCAAAGTAAGTTAAAACATTGATGTACCCCAAAAAGGAAATGGTTAATATTCTACTGGAACTGTACTTTGAAATCTTCTCATAATGAACATAGTTACTATTTATATTATTTTATTATGTTCTAATGCAAGGATTGGGAAACATTTCCCTTTTTTTTCTTTTTTGAGACAGAGTTTTGCTCTCGTTGCCCAAGCTGGAGTGCAATGGCATGATCTCAGCTCACTGCAACCTCTGCCTCCCAGGTTCAAGCAATTTTCCTGCCTCAGTCTCTTGAGTAGCTGGGATTACAGGTGTGTGCCACCATGCCTGGCTAATTTTTTGTATTTTTGGTAGAAACGGGGTTTTACCATGTTAGCCAGGGCTGGTCTTGAACTCCTTACCTCAGATGATCTGCCCACCTGGGCCTCTGAAAGTGTTGGGATTACAGGTGTGAGCCAATGCGCCTGGCTTTTCTTTTTTGAGACGGAGTTTTTGCTCTTGTTGCCCAGGCTGGACTGCAATGGCGTGATGTTGGCTCACCGCAATCCCTGCCTCCTGGGTTCAAGCGATTCTCCTGCCTCAGCCCCCTGAGTAGCTGGGATTACAGGCATGCGCCTCCACGCCCGGCTAATTTTGTATTTTTAGTAGAGATGGGATTTCTCCCTGTTGGTCAGCCTGGTCATGAACTCCTGACTTCAGGTGATCTGCCCGCCTCCACCTCCCAAGGTGTTAGGATTACACCAAAGTGTTAGGATTACAGGCGTGAGGCACCACGCCCAGCCTTTTATTTTTATTTTTTGGTAATACTGGGGTTGCACCATATTTCCCAGGCTGCTGTTGAATGCCTGTGCTCAGGCAGTTTTCCTGCCTTGGCCTCTTAAAGTGCTGGGATTACATGCGTGAGCCACCGCTCCTGGCGACAATTGATACTTTTATCACTAGTGTATGGATAATGTCTGTTTTCCTAAAGGCTCATTAACATAGTATGTGACTAGACCTTTTTTTTTTTTTTTTTTTTTTTTTTGAGATTGAGTCTCGCTCTGTTGCCCAGGCTGGAGTGCAGTGGAGCGGTCTCGGCTCACTGCAAGCTCCGCTTCCTGAGTTCACGCCATTCTCCTGCCTCAGTCTCCGAGTAGCTGGGATTACAGGCGCCCGCCACCACACCTGGCTAATTTTTTGTATTTTTTAGTAGAGACGGGGTTTCACCATGTTAGCCAGGATGGTCTCGATCTCGTGACCTCGTGATCCGCCGGCCTTGGCCTCCCAAAGTGCTGGGATTACAGGCGTGAGCCAGTGCGCCCGGCCTGTGACCAGATAGTTTAATCTTTTCAGTCTGATAGGTTATAGTGGGATCTCAGTATAGTTTTAATTTGTATTTCTCTTATTAGTGAGGTTGAAAATTGTTTCATGTTTAAGAGCAATTTGTACTTAAAAAAAATGTTTATTTTTTGGCTGGGTGTGGTGGCTCATGCCTGTAATCCCAGCACTTTGGGAGGCCGAGGTAGGCAGATCACTTGAGGTCAGGAGTTCAAGACCAGCCTGACCAACATGGTGAAACCCCATCGTTACTAAAATACAAAAATTAGCTGGGGATAGTGGTGGGCACCTGTAATCCCAGCTACTTGGGGAGGCTAAGGCACGAGAATTGCTTGAACCTGGGAGGCAGAGGGTGCAGTGAGCCAAGATTGCAGTACAGAATTCCAGCCTGGGCAATAGAGCAGACTCAGTCTCAAAAAAAAAATTTTATTTTTTTTAGAGATAGGGTGCGTCTCCCTATGTTGGCCAGGTTAGTTTTGATTTGAACTCCTGGTCTCAAGTAATCTTCCCACCTCAGCCTCCCAAAGTGCCAGGATTTCAAATGTAATATAAGATTGTTTCCAATTTTTCTGCTAGTGGATGATCTGCCCCAATTACATGTAATACAAACTATTTTATATAAAATATACATGTTTGGATTTAATAAGGCATAAGACTTGTAAGCATGGATTGTCCTATTTCTGGATTTAAACCAATTCAGTCAACATGTTCAGTCTCTAGATAACTTCTAAATTCGGTAAACTCCTTTCCTGTTAAATATTTAGTAATTCTGATGATTTCTTTGTTTTTTTTTTCCCCAGACGAAGTCTTACTCTGTTGCCCAAGCTGGAGTGCAGTGATGTGATCTCGGCTCACTGCAACCTCCACCTCCTGGGTTCAAGCGATTCTACTGCCTCATCCTCCTGAGTAGCTGGGACTACAGGCACACGCCACCATGCCTGGCTAATTTTTTTGTATTTTTAGTAGAGATGGGTATCACTACGTTGGCCAGGCTGGTCTCGAACTCCTGACCTTGTGATCCGCCCGCCTCAGCCTCCCAAAGTGCTGGGATTACAGGCATGAGCCACCGTGCCCGGCCAATTCTGGTGGTTTCTCTGAGGCAATACTAGGACCTGGATAAGCAACGTTAATGCATTGTGGAAGTCCCTGATTTTCAGAATACTCATGTTTTTGTTGTATTGAGCCATGTTAAAGTAGGATTTATTACAGGTAAAAACCTGAACTCTGAAATATTTATATGGGTTATTCTCAGGTCTACTTTGGTTTTTAGTAACACAGTGAATAATTATTTGAGAAATGAACAGTGGTTTTATTTGGTTATCCTGTCCTATTGGTCTTACTAGGAGGAAAAGTAAACTGATGGCAGCAGTGGAGATGATGTGATCCTCTCTTACCTTTTTATATTGACTTTCTTCCTTTGTTAAAAGGTTCTGTGGCTGGGCACGGTGGCTTACGCCTGTAATCCCAGCACTTTGGGAGGTCAGGGCGGGCGAATCATGAGGCCAGGAGATTAAGATCATCCTGGCTAACACGGTGAAACCCCGTCTCTACTAAAAATACAAAAAATTAGCCAGGCTTGGTGGCGGGTACCTGTAGTCCCAGCTACTCAGGAGGCTGAGGCAGGAGAATGGCATGAACCCGGAAGGAGGAGCTTGCAGTGAGCTGAGATCCCGCCGCTGCCCTCCAGCCTGGGTGACAGAGGGAGACTCTGTCTCAAAAAAAAGAAAAAATATTCTTTTTGGAAGCAAAGTAGCTCTTATTATAATTTGAGATATCTATAAATAAATACACTATAGATATAAATGTATTTCTAGATGTCTCAAATTATAATAAGAATGTTTTTAGGTTGATGCGCTCTGAAAATTTTTAATTGTGTAAAATAACTCACCTTTAAAAATCTTTTTTAGTTGCCTGCGTTAAAAAAAGGTCATCTTACTTTCATTAACGTTAGTTGTGTCAGGCCAAGTGTGGTGGCCTGTAATCCCAGCCCTCTGGGAGACTGAGATAGGAGGATCCCTTGAGTCTAGGAGTTCAAGACTAGCCTCGGCAACACCTTGAGACCCAGTCTCTACAAAAAATATTAAAAAAAAATTAGTTGGGCATGGTGGTATGTGCTTGTAGTCTCAGCTACTGTGGAGGCTGAAGTGAGAGGATTGCTTGAACCTGGAAGGTTGAGGCTGCAGTGAGCTATGCTTGTATCACTGCACTCCAGCCTGGGCAATACAGTGAGACCCTGTCTCAAAAAAACCCCAAATACCAAAACAAAACATTAGTTGTATTATTATATGTTTATGGTATACTAGCTTTTGGGGAGTTGTTAGTTACATGATGTTAATTTCTTAATATTAAAATTTAACATTTTTGGTATTTATTAGCTTGTAAATCTGTTTTCCTTTTTTAAAAAGTCAATCAAATTTAGCAGTGGGAGATTGTATACCATCAATGTTAGTGACACTGATGTTCAGTTCTCATAACCCACTACTATCAGACCAGCCTGTTTTCTATAATCTTATTTGTGTTCCGTGTAGATTCTTCTCATCATTTTGTAGAGACATTTAACACAAAACCACAGGACTTGCACAAATGCATTGCCAGATGCCATTTCGCACGTAGCAGATTTATACAAATTTTGCAAAGAGAAGATTGTGTTACCCAAAAGTATCAGGAAAATGCACAGTAAGTAGTACCTTGATAGTTAGAAAATAATTTATTTCTTTTGAACGGATGTCACCAATATAATGTCAGCAGAAATAATCCATGCCTACCTCAAAACCCTGGCGATTATCTTTCCATTTTAAAGTCAGATAACTTCTTTTTTTTTTTTTTTTTTTTCCCCTATCCGAGACAAGGTCTGGTTCTGTCACCCAGGCTCTTAAGCTGGAATTCAGTGGTGTGATGTTGGCTCACCGCAGCCTCTGCTTCCCAGGCTTAAGTCATCCTCCCACCTCAGCCTCCAGAGTACCTGGGATTATAGGTGCAGGCCACCATTCCCAGCTAATTTTTGTGTTTCTAATAGTGACGGGGTTTCACCATGTTGCCCAGGCTGATCTCAAACTTCTGAGCTCATGCAGTCTGCCTGTCTCAGCCTCCCAAAGTGTCAGGATTACAGGCATGAGCCACTATGACTGGCTATAGTCAGATAACTTATGCATAAAATATTTTAAAACTTTAGGCATACTGTAAGTGTAAGTTTAGAGAAAAAGAAAAGATCACTTTATTTATTTATTTATTTATTTATTTTGGGATGGAGTCTCGCTCTGTTGCCCAGGCTTGAGTGCAGTAGTGGAATCCTGGCTTACTGCAACCTCCACCTCCTGGGTTCAAACGATTCTCCTGCCTCAGGCTCCCGAGTAGCTGAGATTACAGGCGCCTACCACCACGCCTGGCTCATTTTCTTTTTTGTATTTATAGTAGCAATGGGGTTTTGCCTTGTTGACCGTGCTGGTCTCGAACTCCTGACCTCAAGTGGTCCATCTGCCTTGGCTTCCCAAAGTGCTGGGATTGCAGGTGTGAGCCACTTTGCCCGTCCCACTTTAGTTTAAAAAGTTCAGTTTTCTTATGTACTTTGTAAAATATGGAAATATATTTTAAAGTTGTAATTGTAGTGTTTATTTTATTTCATATCCTTTTTTGTCTTGATATTTCATCCTGTAAATTTTTCCATATTGCCATAGTGTATTACCATGTTTTTTTTTTTTTTTTTTTTTTTTTGAGGTGGAGTCTCGCTCTGTTGCCCAGGCTGGAGTACAGTGTCACAATCTTGGCTCACTCTAACCTCCCCCTCCCGGGTTCAAGCAATTTTCCTGCCTCAGCCTCCCAAGTAGCTGGGATTACAGGCACATGTCACCATGCCTAGCTAATTTTTGTATTTTTTAGTAGAGAAGGGGTTTCGCCAGGCTGATCTCGAACTCCTGACCTCAGGTGATCCACCCACCTCAGCCTCCCAAAGTGCTGGGATTATAGGCATGAGCCACTGCACCCTGCCAGTATATTACTTTTAATGTCTATTAGTCCGATTAGTGGGTATTTCGTTAAGTAGATATTCTTGCAGGTAGGTAGTCATCATTTTTTAAAACCACTTAATGCTATTTTATATTTAGGTTCAGGGGCTCAAGTGATCTTCCTACCCTGTCTGGGAGTACAGGTGTGTGCTACCACACCCAGCTAATTTTAAAATTTTTTTGTAGAGACAGGGTCTTGCTTTGTAGCCAGGCTGGTCTCAAACTCCTGGCCTGAAGCCACTTTCCTGCCTCAGCCTCCCAAAATATAGGCATTACAGGTGTGAGCCACCACACCTGGCCTAATTTCTTTTTTGCAACTGTAGACAATTACAGTAGGATAACTTTGTAGAATGCTTTGTTGTATTTTACTAAAGCTATAGAATCCTTTGAAATTAACTGAAATGTTGCCTGACTGTATTAGATAACATTTAAATTTATCCCCTGGGTATGTGAGATGAGGATAAGAGCAGAGTCGTCTTACTAACCTCCATCATTCTTTTTTTTTTTTTTTTTTTGGAGACGGAGTCTCCCTCTGTCACCCAGGCTGGAGTGCGGTGGCCGGATCTCAGCTCACTGCAAGCTCCGCCTCCCGAGTTTTCACCATTCTCCTGCCTCAGCCTCCCGAGTAGCTGGGACTACAGGTGCCTGCTACCTCGCCCGGCTATTTTTTTTGTATTTTTTAGTAGAGACGGGGTTTCACTGTGTTAGCCAGGATGGTCTCGATCTCCTGACCTCGTGATCCGCCCGTCTCGGCCTCCCAAAGTGCTGGGATTACAGGCTTGAGCCACCGCGCCCGGCCACCTCCATCATTCTAATCAGAGAGGATATACTAACCTACGAGTCCTAGGTCCATCTCAGTAGGAGCCTGTATGTTGAATCACTTGTGTGATAAAGAGAATTTAGAGTCCTTTAGCTTGCTGGTGGCTGTACCCAGAGGCCTTGCAAGGATATGCAAAGGGAAAATAGAGAAGTGGGCTATAATAATTAATTATAATGGTATTATAGTTGTCATTTTGTATGTTTTCTTGCAGATTATCAGTTAAGCAGGTACGAAACTTGAGATCTGAATGTATAGGACTGGAAAACCAAATAAAGAAGTAAGTGACTTTTAGAGCTAGAAGTTGCCTTAGATACTAGTTTAGCTTTTGCATTTTACAGGTGAGAAAACAGATTCCCACAAACATTAATTAAAATAATATATCAATAGCCAGACGATGATAGGATTAGAGCATAGTTATGACTGCTAGTCCAGTTCTTCTAGTAAATTTTTATCGCTTGCAGATTAAATTTTATTTTTTGTTGGGGTGGTTGTTGGTGGGTGCGTTTGCAGACAGATTAGCTCTTTGGATATAAAATTACCATGTGATTTTTCATGTGACTAACTAGATTATTTAATTTTTATTAGAATGGAACCCTATGATGACCACAGTAATATAGAAGAAAAAATTCAAAAGGTGAGACAACTTATAAAAGGAGAAATTTAATCTTTTAAAATTCTGTGATATGCAGTGTTTGCTCAGTTGGTAGGACTCTTATAGTCTATTTAGCACCTTTTTTTTTTTTTTTTTTGGAGATAGAGTCTCGCTCTGTTGCCTGGGCTGGAGTACAGTGGCATAATTTTGGCTCACTACAACCTCCGACTCCTGAGTTCAAGTGGTACTCTTGCTGCAACCTCCTGAGTAGCTGGGATTACAAGCATACGCTACCACGCCTAGCTAATTTTGTATTTTTAGTAGAGACAGAGTTTCACCATGTTGGCCAGGCTGGTCTTGAACTCCTGAGCTCAGAAGATCTGCACGCCATGACCTCCCAAAGTGCCGGGATTACAGGCATGAGCCACCACGCCCAGCCTCCCTTCCCCTTCTCCTTCCCCTCCCCTTTCTGAAACAGAGTCTCACTCTCCCAGGCTGGAGTGCAGTGGCATGGTCTCGGGCTCACTGCAACCTTCCACCTCCTGGGTTCAAGCGATTCTCCTGCCTCAGCCTCCCTAGTGGGTGAGATTACAGGTGCATGCTAATATGTGCAGCTAATTGGTATATTTTTGTAGAGACAGGATTTCACCATGGTGGCCAAGCTGGTCTTGAATTCCTGACCTCAGGTGATCTGCCTGCCTCGGTCTCCCAAAGTGCTGGGATTACAGACGTGAGCCACTGTGCCCGGTCCCATTTCTTTTTATAGTATTATTACTTTTTTTTTTTTTTAACTCATAGGTCGTATGTATAAAGATATTAATGGAGTGCCTTTAAAACACTTGAATATAATGGGAAAGTGAACTTATAATTTGTAAGCTTAATTATATTCAAAAGGGTTTTTAGATATGATTAATTAAAAATTCTCCACCCCAGTACAAAAAGCTCTGCTTGATTGTAGTATAACCTTGTCAGTTACAAGGTTATACTTGTCAGTGGTATTAATTTATCTAAGTAAAATGGGTTAACTGCAGGGAGATGTTAAGTGTGAAAGGAAAATGAGGAATCAAAATGAGGCTGGTTTGGCAGGAGGGAGGATTCTGACAAATGAAAATGATCTGAGACCTCCAGAGTTTGATGTGAGGTAAGTATTTTCTAGGTTTTCTTTTTTTTTTGGATAAAATCTCTCTCAAGCTCTTTGTTGTGATTCTGTGATTGCCACGCCAAGCTGCTGTGGGTGTAAATTTGGCTTCCAAGGTACATTGTCACTTGTAAAGGTGAGCGCCCTCTTAAGGAAATATTTTTATTCAGTGAATGCTTATTGATAGCTGATATGTGCTAGGTATCTTGTAGATATTAGGGCCAAAACAATGAGGAGAACAGGCAAGGCAAAGTCACTTCCTTCATGGAATTTTCCATTTAGTGAATCTCTTATTGCAAATTATATAATTAAAATAATTTGCAGAACCTATTAAAGTTTTCACAGCAGTCTCTTCTGAGTTTGGTTCATATTTGTTTCCTCTGAGTACAGTCAACTTTGAGCCCTTGACAAGATAAAAATCTAGACTTGGAAAATCTGAGAGCCAGATCCTAGATAATTACAGATTCATCAAGGAAATGCCATCCTGTGAGACCTCTAGACTGCTAGCCAATGAGTGTTCCTTTGGGAACAACTTTACCTTGCCATGCAACATGTCAGAGATACTTAGGGTGGCACACACCTATAGTTTCACCTACTCAGGAGGCTGAGGCAGGAGGATTGTTTGAGCCCAGGAGCTCAAGGCTGCAGTGTGCTCTTGTTGTGTCAGTGGACTCCAGCTTGGGCAACAGAGCGAGACCTGTCTTAAAAAAAAAAAAAAAAGGAGGTGGGGGCACAGTGGCTCACACCTGCGAGCACTTTGGGAGGCCAAGATGGACGACGGATCATTTGAGGCCAGGAGTTCAAGGCCAGCCTGGCCAACATGGTGAAACCCTGTCTCTACCAAAAATAAAAAAGTAGCCTGGTGTGGTGGTACTCTCCTGTAGTCCCAGCTACCTGGGTGGCTGAGGCACGAGAATCACTTGAACCTGGGAGGCAAAGGTTGTAGTGAGCCATGATTGTGCCACTGCACTCCAGCCTGGGTGACAGAATGAGACCCTGTTTAAAAAAAAAAAAAAGAAAAAAAAAAGTGAACTAATTAGAGATGTTTAATACTGTATTTTTATCATGCAGGAAGAACGTGTGTAATTATATTTCTCCACCTCCCTCCGTCTTTTGTAAATTCTGTTAAAGCATAACGTATACACAAGAAATGTGTAACTCATAAGTATATAGCTTGACAGATTTTCACAAAGTGAACATGTCCGTGTAACCAATATCGTTTAAGGAATAGAATGTTACCAGCACCCTAGAATCTTCCTTGAACCTGTTTAGTTTACACTGTTTCCCCCCACGGGGAAACACTGCCCTCACGTGTTACACTAAAGATTAGTTTTGCCTGTTTTTGAACTTCATATAAATGCGAGTATATAGAATATATTCTTTTGTGTCTGACTTTGGCTCAACATTGTTTATGGTATTTATCCATGCTATTGTGTGTAATCATAGTGTGTTTATTCTCATTGCTGCTTAGTGTTCTATTTTATGGACATAGCACCAGTGTACCCTTTTTACTGTAGATGGACCTTTGGATTGTTTCTACTTTTTGATTATTACAAATAGACATTCTATGAGTATTCTTTTTTTTTTTTTTTTGCAAGGATCCTGGGCTTAAGGGATCCTCTTACTTCAGCCTTCTGAGTAACTGGGATTACAGGTATGCACCACTGTGCCTGCCTAAATATTCTTGTGTATCAATTTTAATGAATATAGATTAGTATATGCCTAAGATTTTTTGTTTTTAATGAGGCATAATTTCCCACACTTTAACTTCCTCAAACTGAATGACTTAAAATTGAGATGTAGTAGTTTTTTCTCTTGAAAAATTTTTTTATTTTTTTTTTGAGATGGAGTTTTACTCTGTTCCCTAGGCTGGAGTGCAGTGGCGCGATCTCGGCTCACTACACCCTCAGCCTCCCGGGTTCACACCATTCTCCTGCCTCAGCCTCCCGAGTAGCTGGGAGTACAGGCTCCCGCCACCATGCCCGGCTAATTTTTTGTATTTTTAGTAGAGATGGGGTTTCACTGTATTAGCCAGGATGGTCTCGATCACCTGACCTTGTGATCTGCCCACTTCGGCCTCCCAAAGTGCTGGGATTACAGGCATGAGCCACCGCGCCCGGCTTCTCTTGAAAAATTTTAAAAATTATTTCTCCCTGAATGATCTTCGGTAGATTGATTACATGTCAGCATATAGAAAACGCTAACTGTATCTTGCATAAGATTTCTTAGATTTGGAGCTGGGTGCAGTGGTGTGTGCCTTTAGTCCCAGCTACTTGGGAGGCTGATGTGGGAAGATTGCTTGAGCCCAGGAGTTTGAGTCCGGTCTGGGCAACATAGTAAGACCCCATCTCTAAAAACAAAAAAATTCTTAGATTTGTTTGAAAATTATAGTGAGCTAGATTCTCCTGATACATTTTTCAAAAATTCCCTTTGGAAATAATATCCAAAGGGAGTTTTAAACTATAAAAGTATAATTATTTAATTTTCTTACTAGAAATCATTCTAGGAAATTTCTTACTAAGAGTGAACATATATTTACATTTTAAAAATATATATATGGATTATGTGTGAACTTTAATATTTTGCTTCTGTTTCCAAAGGTTCGGTCTTTGTGGGCTTCAGTGAATGAAACGCTCATGTTTTTGGAAAAAGAGAGAGAAGTTGTTAGTTCGGTCCTTAGTCTTGTTAACCAATATTATGCTTTAGATGGAACTGATGTTGCTATCAATATTCCAAGGCTCTTACTTGACAAGATTGAGAAACAAATGTTTCAGGTAAGCGTTTGAGAAAACTCCTGTGATATAATTGTATATTTTCTTGCAGTGTTCTTCTGCTTTCAGAATTTCTTTCTTTTTTTTGAGGCAGAGTTTTGTTCTTATTGCCTAGGCTGGAGGGCAGTGGCATGGTCTTGGCTCACTGCAACCTCCGCCTCCCGGGTTCAAGCGATTGTCCTGCCTCAGCCTCCCAAGTAGCCGGGATTACAGGCATGTGCCACCACGCCCAGCTAATTTTGTATTTTTAGTAGGTGGGGTTTCTCCATGTTGGTCAGGCTGGTCTTGAACTCTTGACCTCAGGTGATCTACCCACCTCGGCCTCCCAAAGTGCTGGGATTACAGGCGTGAGCCACTGCACTCGGCCAGAATTTATTTCTATGAGTGTATTTAGTAAAACTTTCATAAGGAGGGATACTGTTAAAGGTGTGTATATTTATATTTATCGATTTTTATTAATTGCCCCATACCTGTACAGTACTACATTATATAGTGTAGACAGTATGAAGTTTCTTAGTAGGAAGATGGTACTGTACTAGTTCATTATAAATTCTTAAAGAGAAGAACAGTGATCTCCTAATTGCCAAATGTCCTTTTAAAAAGTCTCCATCCCCTGGCTTCTGTTTTATCTTGATACTGTTAAGTATTGCTTGTATAGTCTTCTTCCTTTAGCTTTATAAACTCAGTGTCTCTGCTTTTCTATGGTCTTTCAGACTGCTGCTCTGTTTTTCACACTGGTTTCTTTTTTTCTGTTTTTTGAGACAGAGTCACACTGTCACCCAGGCTAGAGTATAGTGGCATGATCTTGGCTCACTGCAATCTCCCTGTCCTTGGTTCAAGTCATTCTCCTGCCTCAGCTTTCCAAGTAGCTGGGATTACAGGCGTGTGCTACCACGCCTGGGTAATTTTTGTATTTTTAATAGAGACGGGGTTTCACGATGTTGGCCAGGCGGGTTTTGAACTCCTGACCTCAAGTGATCCACCCGCCTTGGCCTCCCAAAGTACTGAGATTACAGGCTTAAGCCACTGTGCTCGCCCTGGTTTCTTTTTTTCTAACTTTTTTTTTTTTTTTTTTTTTAGGTCTTACTCTGTCACCTGGGCTGAAGTGCAGTGGCGTGATCTCAGCTCACTGCAACCTCTGCCTCCCAGTTCAAGTGATTCTCCTGCCTTGGCCTCCCAAGTAGCTGGGATTACAGGCCCCTACCACCGTGCCCAGCTAAATTTTTGTATTTTTAGTAGATATGGGGTTTCACCATGTTGGCCAGGCTGGTCTCGAACTCCTGACTTTGTGATTCGCCCGCCTTGGCCTCCCAAAGTGCTGGGGCATGAGCCACCGCGCCTGGCCTTTCTGTCTAACTTTTAAATAATGTTCTCCTTGGTTCTTTTAATGCCCTCTTTTTCTTTCCCTCATTATGAATTTATTTGTATTTTCTACCAATTTCATGACTTCAACAGTCTCTCCTCATCAACCCAAACTCCATCCAGTTATTTCCACTTGCTTATGGGACATTATCTGGATAGCTTACTTTTTTGTTTTCTTAGAAAAGAATTCATCAAGCATCTACTATATGCTGGAGAGATACAAAGATAAAATATTGTTGTGACTCTGAAGAGAGACACCTCTTTAGTAGAGATAGGGTTTCACCATGTTGGCCAGGCTGGCTTAGAGCTCCTGACTTCAAATGAACCTCTTGCCTCGGCCTCCCAAAGTGCTGGGATTACAGGCGTGAGCCACTGTGCCTGGCTCATAATTTTTGTGTGAAATCTATGATTTAAAAAGTTTGGAAACTGGGCATGGTGGCTCACGCCTGTAATCCCAACATTTTGGGAAGCTGAGGTGGGCAGATCACCTGAGGTCAGGAGTTTGAGACCAGCCTGGCCAACATTATGAAACCCCGTCTCTACTAAAAATACAAAAATTTGCTGGCCATGATGGTGCACATCTGTAGTCCCAGCTACTTGGGAGGCTGAGGTGAGAGGATCGCTTGCAAGCTGGAGTCGGAGGCTGCAGTGAACCAAGATTCAGCCACTGCACCCAACCTGGGAGACAGAGTGGGACCCTGTCTCAAAAAAAAAAAAAAAAAAATTGGCGACTAATTCAAATGATTTTAAGACATAGAACTGTGTAGCCAAAGAAACATGTTTAAGTACAGATACGGCCTTTAGGGGTCATTGATTTGTAACTTCTGTTAAAAAATGAATTTATGGTCTTTTCACTAAACCTGCTGTTTCTGCTTAATCTTTATTTTTCTTTCCATCTATTAACATTTCTTTTATTCTAGTTTTCAACCTTTTGCATAATATAAAAATGTAGCAAAGAATGTAGCAAGGCATGTTAATTCTTTCCTAGTGGTTTTCATTGGGCCAAAATTATTTACATCATTTTATGTTTGGGGATATTTGATTTTTTTTTCCCTCTTTTTTTTGTGTGTGAGATGGAGTTTTGCTCTTATTGCCCAGGCTGCAGTGCAGTGGTGTGATCTCAGCTCACTGTAACCTCTGCCTCCTGGGTTCAAGCGATTCTCCTGCCTCAGCCTCCCGAGTAGCTGCGATTACAGGCATGTGCCACCATGCCCAGCTAATTTTGTATTTTTAGTAGAAACAGGGTTTCTCCATGTTGGTCAGGCTGGTCTTGAACTCCTGACCTCAGGTGATCTGCCCCCCTCGGCCTCCCAGAGTGCTGGGATTACAGGCGTGAGCCACCACATCTGGCCTTTCTCTTTTCTTTAAGATAAACTTTAATAATAAAAAACATAAATATTTTTATGTAATAGTTTATTATTATAATAACCTATAGTTCACCAATTTTTTCTCCTCCTGATTCCTTAGTTGCACATAGGAAATGTTTATGAGGCTGGAAAACTGAACCTCTTAACAGTTATTCAGTTATTAAATGAAGTCTTGAAAGTGATGAAATATGAACGTTGTCAGGCTGATGAGGCAAGATTTACCGTAGACCTTCACTACCTTGAAAAAGAGACCAAATTTCAGAAGGAAAGATTATCAGATCTGAAGCATATGAGGTACTCTAAAAAGATCTGTTATTTTACTGTGGGAGGAGTAGGGTGGTTTTCTTAACAAAACTTGTATGACTTTAATAGCTCTTCAGCTTTGGCAAACAAGTATGAGAATTCTAGTACTCAAAAACCTTACATAATCAACTCTTGGAGATACACGTGAAGCAGAAAGGAAAAGGAAAATTAGTGGGATAAATGATTTGCCCTGAATGATAATTTTTTTATGAAATAAATTTAGCTTTTCTGTAGTTTCCTTTTGTTGGGTCTAATCATAAAACTGGGCCTTAGAAAAGGTTTTTTTTTTTTTTGAGATGGAGTTTCGCCCTTGTCGCCCAGGCTAGAGTGCAATGGTGCGATCTCGGCTCACTGCAACCCCTTCCTCCTGGGTTCAAGTGATTCACCTGCCTTAGCCTCTCGAGTAGCTAGGATTACAGACATGTGCCACCACACCTGGCTAATTTTGTATTTTTAGTAGAGACGGGTTTTCTCCATGCTGGTCAGGCTGCTGTCGAACTCCCGACCTCAGGTGATCTACCTGCCTCGGCCTTCCAAAGTTCTGGGACTATAGGTGTGAGCCACCAAGCCCGGCCTCTTTTTTTTGAGACAGAGTCTTGCTCTGTTGCCCAGGCTGGAGTGCAGTGGCATGATCTCCCCTGACTGCAACCTCCATCTCCCGGGTTCACACGATTCTCCTGCCTCAGCCTCCCAAGTAGCTGAGATTACAGGCACGTGCCATCATGCCTGGCTAATTTTTGTATTTGTAGTAGGGATGGGGTTTCACCATGTTGGCCAGGCTGGTCTTGAATTCCTGACCTCAGGTGATCAGCCTGCCTCAGCCACTTGAACAGTTTTTTAATTGAGCAGAAAGAATAGAAAGTATGGTATGCTTATAGGAATGGATAGAGAGTGGGAGTGAAAGTCCTACTCAAGTTTAGAGCAAGGAAGAAATTCTATTTTAAAAATAAATGGAGGCCAGGCGCGGTGGCTCACGCCTGTAATCCCAGCACTTTGGGAGGCCGAGGCGGGCGGATCACAAGGTCAGGAGATCGAGACCACGGTGAAACCCTGTCTCTACTAAAAATACAAAAAATTAGCCGGGCGTGGTGGCGGGTGCCTGTAGTCCCAGCTACTCAGGAGGCTGAGGCAGAAGAATGGCGTGAACCCGGGAGGCGGAGCTTGCAGTGAGCCGAGATCGCGCCACTGCACTCCAGCCTGGGCGACAGAGCGAGACTCCGTCTCAAAAAAAAAAAAAAAAAAGAAAAAATATATAAATGGAGTAGCTGGGTGTGGTGGGTCACACTTGTAATCCCAGCACTTTGGGAGGCTTGAGGTAGGTGGATCACCTCAGGTCAGAAGTTCAAGACCATTATGGCCGACATAGGGAAACCTTGTCTCTACCAAAAAGACAAAAATTAGCCAGGCATGCACTTGTAATCCCAGCTACTTAGGAGGCTGAGACAGAAGAATCACTTGAACCTGAGAGGCGGAGGTTGCAGTGAGCTGAGATTGCGCCACTGCACTCTAGCCTGCGTGAGAGAGTGAGACTCCATCTCAAAAAAAACAAAAAAAAAAAAAAAAATGAATACATAAAATGGAGTAATAGATATATTATTGCTTTTTTTTTTTTTTCTTTTCTTTTGAGATGGCATTTCCCTCTTTTTGCCTAGGCTGAAGCGCAATAGCACGATTTCGGCTTACTGCAACCTCTGCCTCCTGATTTCAAGTGATTCTCCTGCCTCAGCTTGCTGAGTAGCTGGGATTACAGGGGCGCGCCCCCCGCGTCCAGCCAATTTTGTATTATTATTATTGTTTTTCAGTAGAGACAGGGTTTCACCATGTTGGTCAGGCTGGTCTCGAACTCCTGACCTCACGTGATCCACCTGCCTCGGCCTCCCAGAGTTCTGGGATTACAGGTGTGAGGCACCGTACGCGGCCTCTTTCTGGTCTTTTTTTTTTTTTTTTTTAAACTATTTTTTAAAAACTATTTATTTATTTATTTATTTTTTATATTTGAGATGGAGTTTTACTCTTGTCTCCCAGGGTGGAGTGCATGGAGTGCAATGGCATGATCTCGGCTCACTGCAACCTCTGCCTCCTGGGTTCCAGTGATTCTCCTGCCTCAGCCTCCTTAGTAGCTGGAATTACAGGCACCCACTCCTATAACCGGCTAATTTTTGTATTTTTTGTAGAGACGAGGTTTCACCACATTGGCCGGGCTGATCTTGAACTCCTGGCCTGAGGTGATCCGCCCGCCTTGGCCTCCCAAAGTGCTGGGATTACAGGCATGAGACACTGCTCCCTGCCTTCTTTATGGTCATAAAAAGAGAAGGGTATTTTAGGTTCTGAATATTCACCTGTGAGAAGTTTATTTAATTTATATGTGGTATATTGATTGAACTTTCAGTTCCATTTCCTTCCACTTCTCTACAACTGTTGTTATTTTCTTAAATTTGACTCAGTGCTTTTTTTGTATCTTCATATTTTGAATAAATTTTTTTTATACTCTTATAGGTATAGAATTAAAGATGATCTCACAACTATAAGACAATCTGTTGTTGAAAAGCAAGGAGAATGGCATAAAAAGTGGAAAGAATTTCTTGGTGTGTCTCCTTTCAGTCTAATTAAAGATTGGACTCCAGTAAGTAATGTTGACTTGCCCCTGTTCTCCCTGCCCCACTTTTTTTTTTTTTGAGACACTGTCTTGCTCTGTTGCCCAGGCTGGAGTAGAGTGGCATGATCATAGCTGGCTGGACTACAGTGGCACGATCATAGCTGGCTGGAGTACAGTGGCACAATCATAGCTGGCTGGACTACAGTGGCACGATCATAGCTGGCTAGAGTACAGTGGCATGATCATAGCTTGTTGTAACCTTGAACTTCTGGGTTCAAGCAATCCTCCCACCTCAGCCTTCTGAGTAGCTGGGACTACAGGTGTGCATCACCAAGCCTGGCTAATTTTTTCTTTAATTTTATAGATAGGGTCTCCCTACATTGCCAAAGCTGGTCTCAAACTCCTAGACTCGAGTGATCTTCCTGCCTCGGCCTCCCCAAAGTACTGGGGTTACAGGCGTGAGCCACTGCACTCAGCCAATTTGCCTTTTGGAGAATAGTTCAATAAATGGCAATTTGTGAATTTATTGTGTTATGAATGACCTAGAAATGTTGTATGTATGTCATTGAAGGGGTGGCCTGCCCCTCCACACCTGTGGGTGTTTCTCGTTAGGTGGAAGGAGAGACTTGAGAAAAGAAATGAGACACAGAGACAAAGTATAGAGAAAGAGAAAGTGGGCCCAGGGGACCGGCGCTCAGTTTACAGAGGACCCACACCAGCACCGGTCTCTGAGTTCCCTTAGTATTTATTGATAATTATCTTTACCGTCTTAAAGATAAGGGAGTGGCAGGACAATAGGATCATTGTAGGGAGGAAATCGGCAGTAAGACATATGAACAAAAACCTCTGTGACATGAATAAGTTTAAAGGAAAATGCTGTGCCTTGAGATGCATATGCAAACATCTCCATAAACCTTTTAGCAGCATTGTTTCAGCCTATCACATGGGGAGAAACCTTGGACAATACCTAGCTTTCCTAGGCAGAGGTCCCTGCGACCTTTGGCAGTGTACGTGTCCCTGGGTAGTTGAAATTAAGAGAATGGTGATAACTTTTAACCAGCAAGCTGCCTTCAGGCACTTGTTTAACAAAGACATATCCTGCACAGCCCAAAATCCATGAAACCTTGAGTCACCGCAGCACATGGCTCTTGCAAGGACAAGGTTGGGGGTAGGGTCACAGATTAACAGCATCTCAAATACAGAACAAAATGGAGTCTCTTATGTCTACTTCTTTTTTTTTGTTTTCTTTTTTTTTTTTTTTTTTTGAGATGGAGTCTCGCTGTGTCGCCCACGCTGGAGTGCAGTGGCTGGATCTCAGCTCACTGCAAGCTCCGCCTCCCGGGTTTACGCCATTCTCCTGCCTCAGCCTCCCGAGTAGCTGGGACTACAGGCGTCCGCCACCTCGCCTGGCTAGTTTTTTGTATTTTTTAGTGGAGACGGGGTTTCACCATGTTAGCCAGGATGGTCTCGATCTCCTGACCTCGTGATCCGCCCATCTCGGCCTCCCAAAGTGCTGGGATTACAGGCTTGAGCCACCGCGCCCGGCCCTTTATGTCTACTTCTTTCTATATAGACACAGTAACAGGCTGATCTTTCTTTCTATTCCCCACATGTCATCTTTGCATTTGAGTCTAAAGTTTCTATGTTATGGTTTCTGTAATTTTTCTAAATATATATATAATATAATATCCATAAGTTGCTGTTGTCTTTTACAGTTAATATTTTTAGATTCGAAGGATTGTATTAAAAAGAAAACAATTATTATTATTATTATTTTTTGAGATGGAGTCTTGCTCTGTTGCCCACGCTGGAGTGCAGTAGCACTATCTCAGCTCACTGCAACCTCTACCTCCCAGGTTCAAGTGGTTCTACTGCCTCAGCCTCCTAAGTAGCCGGGACTAAAGGTGCCCGCCACCATGCTCGGCTAATTTTTTTATTTTCAGTAGAGATGGGGTTTCACCATGTTGGTCAGGCTGGTCTTGAATACCTGACTTCAGGTGATCCACCCACCTCTGCCTCCTAAAGTGCTGGGATTACAGGCGTGAGCCACTGTGCCCAGCCAGAAAGCAAGACTCCTCTTGATGTGAAGTACTGTGATGTTTGAGAAATTCAAGGACTAAGTAATCCCCCTTGCTCCTAATGTTGTACTTTGCTTTAAAAATAGTTATAGGGCTGGGCGTGGTGGCTCACACATATCATCCCATTGTTTTGGGAGGCTGAGGCAGGAGGATCATTTGAGGCCAGGAATTGGAGACCACCTGGACAATATAGTGAGACCCCTTCTCTACCAAAAAAAACCCCCAAAACTGGGTGTCGTGGTATGTCCTTGTAGGTCTAGCTACTTGAGAGGCTGAGGTGGGAGGACCGCTTAAGCCCAGGAGTTTGAGGCTGCAGTGAGCTATGATAATGTCATTATTGCACTTTAGCTTGGACGAGGGAGTGAGACCCTGTCTTTAAGAAAAATAAATAAAAATAGTTATCTGATACATGCTTGGTGATTCTGTCTTTCTTAGGGAGAAAATAATCTATTCATAGATTAACTCAGCATTGTTATTATAGTAGTTAGCAAATATGTTTACTTCAAAATTGTGAATTTTCTGTTTTAAGTCTGTAGATCTTTTACCACCAATGTCTCCCCTTTTGTTTGATCCTGCCTCAGAAGAAGTATATGCAAAGAGTATTCTTTGTCAGTATCCTGCTTCACTTCCAGGTTGGTTATTTATTTGTTTTTCTCTTTGAAACCTCCTTCCTGTCATTCTTTTTCATTATTATAATAGTTCTTTATATTCCTTGTCTTTTTCCTCCATTTTTTTTTATTGTGGTGAAATGCATGTAACCTAAGATTCACAGTTTCAGTTATTGCAAAGTATACAACTCGATGGCATTTAGTACATTTACAGTGTTGTGCAGTCATCATCACTATCTAGTTTCTGAATTCTTTCTTTGACTTTTTTTGAGACAGGGCTCACTCTGTTGCCCAAGCTGGAGTGCAGTGGCACAATCTCAGCTCACTGTAGCCTTGACTACCTCAGGCTCAAGTGATCCTCCCACCTCAGCCTCTCACATAGCTGGGACTGGAGGTGTGTGCCACCACACCTGGCTAATTTTTGTAATTTTTTTTGTAGAAATGGGATTTCACTGTATTGCCCAGGCTGGTCTTGAACTCCCGGGCTCAAATGATTGACCTGTCTCGGCCTCCCAAAGTGCTGGGATTACAGGTATGAGCCATTGAGCCCCAGCCGCCAGAATATTTTCATCATCTCAAAAAAACCCTCTAACCCATTAACCAGTCACTTCCATTTTGCCCGGCTTTTTTTTTTTTCTGAGATGGAGTCTTGCTCTGTTGCCCAGGCTGGAGTGCAGTGGCGCAATCTCAGCTCACTGCAACCTCCATCTTGGGTTCAAGCAATTAATGCTCTTGCCTCAGCATCCTGAGTAGCTGGTATCACAGGTATGTGCCACCACACCTGGCTAATTTTTTTTTTGTATTTTTGGTAGAGACGGTGTTTTACCATGTTGGTCAGGCTGGTCTTGAGCTCTTGACCTCAACTGATCCGCCCGTCTCGGCCTCCCAAAGTGCTGGGATTAAATGAGCCACTGCGCCCAGCCCATTAATGTACTTCTTATCTCTATGGATTTGCCTGTTCTGGATATTTCATATAAATGAAGTCATATAATATGAGGCCTTTTGTTTCTGTCTTCTTTCTTCTTTCACTTGCATTGTTTTTAACTTTGCACAATGTTTTCTTGAACTGATTCCAAGCAATTCTTCCTTGGCCTCCCAAAATGCTGGGATTATAGGTGTGAGGCACCACATGTACAGTATTTTCAAGTTTTTTACATCTTGCAGCATGTATCAGCCTTCAATTTTTAAAAATCAGATTCGTTGAGTTATAATTCACATATCATACAGTTCACTCATTGAAAATGTATGATTTCTTGGTTTTTGCTAAATTCACAAATATGTGCAACCATCATCGCAATTGTAAACATTTTCATCACCTGAAAAAGAAACCTCATACCCTTTAACTATTACCCCCTAATCCCCTTCACTTCTCCAGTTCAAAGCAATTACGAAGATATTTTCTGTCTCCAGATTTCCCTGTTCTGGATTTTCATATGGATGGAATCATATCATACATAGACTTTCGTGACTGGCTTCTTTCACTTAGCATAGTGTTTTCAAAGTTCATCTAAGTTGTAGCATGTATCAGTCAGTACTGCATTCCTTTTTTATGAATATATGCCATTGTATGCCTCTACCACATTTTGTTTATCCATTCATCTGTTGATGGACATTTGGGTTTTTTTCACCTTTTGGCTATTACGAGTAATGCTTCTGTAAACATTCCATACAGGTTTTTTGTGGAAGCTCACAATTTTTTTTTAACATGAAAGAATAGGACAATAATTAACCTGTGTTAATTAGCACATGTGTACAAGACAGTTAGGTTCAGTAAATAGAGGATAGATAAGGAATGAATGAATAAAAAACAAATTATACAGCCAAATTGGAGCAAGTAATAGTTGTAGGCTGTAGTTCACTCAGGCGAAAGGTCATGACAGCAGTTAGCACAGGACTTAATCACTGGGATAGGTAATTGGTTTGAGAGTCAGGTGTATTTGGGGAGGACACTGGTTGGGAAAGATTATAGACTAGAGAGCAAGGCTCAGTTTAGGTGCAACCAGAAGAGAAGACAGAAAAGTCTGCATGGGGCTGGGCATAGTGGCTCACACCTATAATACCAGCACTTTGGGAAGCTGAGGGTGGAAGATTGCTTAAGCCCAGGAGTTTGAGACCAGCCTGGACAACATAGTGAGACCCAGTCTCTACAAAAAATGAAAAATTAGCCAGGCATGGTGGTGTGTGTCTGTAGTCCTAGCTATTTAGGAGGCTGAGGTAGGAGGATCATTTGAGCCCAGAAGTTCAAGGCTGCAATGAGCTATTACTGTTCCACTGCCCAGTGGTCTAGCCTGGACAACAGAGTAAGACCCTCTCTCTCTCTTTCTCTTTTTCTTAAATTTTTTTGTTTTTTTTTTGAGACAGAATCTCACTCTGTCGTCCAGGTTGGAGTGCCGTGGTGCGATCTTGGCTCACTGCAACCTTCGCCTCCCGGGTTCAAGCAATTCTCCTGCCTCAGCCTCCCGAGTAGCTGGGACTACAGGTGCCCGCTACCACGCCTGGCTAATTTTTTTGTTTTTTTACTAGAGATGGGGTTTCACCATGTTAGCCAGGCTGGTGTCGATCTCCTGACCTCATGATCCGCCTGCCTTGGCCTCCCAAAGTGCTGGGATTACAGGTGTGAGCCACCGCACCTGGCCCTTTTTCTTAAAGTTTAAATTAAAATTTTTCTTTAAAATTAAAAATTAGTGTTATGCATTCTCAGGGGCCATGTTAATCTCTGTGTTGTTCCAATTTTAATATATGTGCAGCTGAAGTGAGCATGAGACCCTGTCTCTTAAAAAAAAAAAAAAGGCTGCATGGTTTGATAAATGAAGAGGAGCTTCAGATAGACCATTCTGGTTCCATGGTGGCTGTGGACAGTCCTTAATTATGGTAGAATTCTTTTGATAGCTCTTGGCTTTGTTTTTAACTCTTTTATTTTTATTTTTTATTTTTGAATTATTTCTCTCTCTCTCTTTTTTTTTTTTTTTAAATCCACTAGTCAACAGAGCTCTTGGCATTGTATTGTGTTTTCATTTCAGTTGGGAAAGGGCTTTTGCACTCTCACCAGGGTTAGTTTACCCCTTCAAATCTGTGAAATTCTCATGTCCATTTGGAGGTTTCTCTACTTGCCTTTATACTGAGGGAAAATGTGTCCATTTAGGAAGTCCAGTTGGAAGTGGTACTCTTGGGAGTCGCCCCCTTTTTTTTCTCCTAGTATAGAACCTTGATCTGAGCTGGGCTACTTAAACATTATATTTTTTGTGGTAAAACAACCATTTCTGCCTTCCTGTACCTTACATATTGCATCTTACTTAATTTACTTTAAAAATGTTTTTTAAAATTATATTTCAGCATATTGAAAAGTACAGAGAATAGTATTATAAATACTTGTTTATTAAACACCTTTTTGGCAAAGGTTTGCAATATTCACTTTAGGTTTTTAAAAATGTACATATATAGTTAATCCTTAGATATCCACCTTTCTTCACCTTCCTTACTGATTTCACAGAGGTAATCACTATTCTGAATCTAATCTTTAGTCTGATGTATGTTTATAAAATAAATTTGTTACCTATGTATAGACCTATAAATAATATGTAATAGTGTTCTTCCTCTTTTTTAAAGTTTATAAATGAAAATTTTAAAATTATCTTCCAAAAGGTTCTTTGTTAATGTTTGTACTTTTCGTTGTTTTTTTTTTTTTTTTTTTTTTTTTTTTTGA